TCTTTTATAAATATTTTTCTACTCGTTTAAAGCTTTCTAATAATGATAATAAAATTTTGATGAGTGCAGCAAATTTTAAAGTTCAAACTTAGATTAAATATTAACTTTTAACAACGGAAACTATTAATTAGTAAAGATAAATTAGTACTTGAATTTTATTAGTTTAAATTTATTCTATTAAATGATTTGAGAGCTTAGAATTAAGTTCTTAACTATAAAATTTGTGATTTATGATGTATAGGATATATATATATATATATATATATTAATTAAATTGAGTTTTTAGGATTTAGATAAGTTAATTTAAGTAAATTTTGAATTTTTATTGGAGGAATTTAGATTGGAAGAATGTAGTTGTAAATTTAAGAAGTTTAGTTGAATTATTATATTTAATTGATAAATTACTCTATATATATATATATATATCTAATGGTATTTATATTATTTGATGTCGTAGATTAACCTGTTATTGTGATTAAGAAGTTTCCTACACGTCTGAGTTACTTATAGCTTGAAAAAGAGGTAATATTGGAATATCCTTTCATATATTGAGATCCTAGTTTTTATTATTATTATTATTATTATTATTATTATTATTATATACATATAAATATATGTTAATACTTGTGTTATCTTATTGTAAAATGTAACATTTATTTTATGTGATGCAAAAGAGGTAATAAGGATGGCTAGTAATATTATTGTTTGTTTGGGTTGATCATTGAATATTTATGCCGCATGGTTTGCCTCCATTACGTGCATAGTGGTTGATCTTTTCTTGTAGTTCCCAATATTTTTGACATTTTAGGATGATGGATACCTCCTTTTTAAAGAGGGGAGTCCTATTTTGATGACAATGTACCTTTGGCCAAGTATAACCTCAGCTTAGGCTCTAGTTAATGGTAATAAGGGAGTTGGAAGCTATAAGGGTGAGATTGGGAAATGTATCACTGTTGTTTTAATTTGATATTGATTTAGAAATTGTTATATAATTGTGAATACTATATTTCTTGTTTTGTGTATTGATTGTGAAATGCATATGTATATCTATAGATATGTTTGCGAACTGATTTTAAGAAGCATGTTGGTATATGTTAGAATAACCAACTGTTGTTAAGATTTTGATCTCACATGTTACTTCTTATCATTTTTAGGTGAGTAGTCAAGTGGAGTTACAAGGAAGGCACCGAAGAATTGAGCCTAGGCTCCCTTCTCTCTACTTGGCACGTGGTTTTTTATTTATTGTAATTATAGTTGCCATGACTTAGGGACCTTTATAAACTTTATTTTGGATAATTGTTATAGGTTATTCGACTAAAACTACTTAATCTTTTTGTTTGAGCTAGATGACTTTTAAACACGTCGATTTGGACTACGATTTTCTATTAGGCCAAACCTATTTATTTTGGATTGCACATATTAATGGAATAAAAAAATGTGTGTTTAACAAAGTTGATTATATCTATAAACTCATCTGTCCTAAACCCAGTGGTGATTGTTAATCTCAATGTTGCTTTGTTTGGACAGGTATATTTTTGAAAAAAATGTTCATTTACAAAGGATAAAAAGGGCGGAGGTTTTTCTTTAAAAAAAATTGTGATAAAATCAAGTCTGTTACATTTGGGGTTTTTATTTTGGGGTTTTTGCATATAAGGTTTAGGCTTCAAATTTTAAGGTTTTGGGTTTTGAGTTTGTTGATTGAGGTTTGAGCTTGGTGGTTTTGGGTTTTAAGATTGGGGTTTTGAGTATAGGATTTTAAGATTAGCTTTTAGGCTTAGGGATTTTGGGCTTGGGGTTTTCAGATTAGTGTTTGGGCTTAGGGGTTTGGAGTTGAGGGTTAGTGGTTTGAAGTTTCGATTTTTAGCTTAGGCATTTAGGTTTTGGGTTTTTAGATTAGGGTTTTAGGTTTGGGGTTTCAAGATTAAGGTTTGGGCTTAGGGGTTTAGGGCTTAAGGTTTCTAGATTGAGGTTTAGGCTTAGGGGTTTCAGTTTTAAGGTTTTAGATTTGGGGTTTTGCATTTTTGGTTTAGGCTTCGAGGATTTAAGGTTTAGGATTCCAAACTTTTAAACTTAATTTAAAACCCTTATGTTTCGAGGTTTTGAGTTTAGAGTTTAAGGCTTGTGGTTTCAACTTAGGGGTATAGGGTTTTGGGTTTTAGGCTTTAGATTTTAGGTTTGGGGTTTTCACTTAGGGGTTTAAGGTATTGAAATTGGGATTTTGAGTTTAGGCTTTAGGCTTTATGTTTTTTGGTTTTGGGTTGAGGTTTGGGCTTAAGGGTTAGGTGTTTGGGGTTTTCAAATTAGGGTTTGGACTTTTAGATTGGGTTTTAGGCTTAGGGAATTAAGGTTTAGGGTTTTGAAATTGGGATTTGGGCTTGTGGGATTAGGGTTTGGGAGTTTACATTTAGGGTTTAGAGTTTTGAGATTGACGTTTGAGTTAGGGTTTTAGGGCTTGGGGTTTTGAGAGTAGGGTTTTGCATTTAGGGTCTGGAGTGTTAAGGTTGGGGTTTGGACTTCAAAGTTTTAGGTTTAGGGTTTTGGCTTAAGGGTTTAGGGTTTTGAAATAGAGGTTTTGGGTTTGGAGTTTTAGGTTAAAGGTTTAGGGTTTTAACATTAGGGTTAGGATTTAAGATTTGGGATTCCAAACTTTTATACTTTAAAGCCCTTGTATTATGATAACCTAATATAAGTTATTAGTCAATCATGGTTATCATTGTAGTGTTGTGTGTTATGTTTTGATAATATCAAAACGAACATTACAAATACTGTTCCATTCTTGCACTTTCTTTCACATCCTCTCCAAAAGTTCTTAACGAATATATTTTTTTTAATTTCCCCGCATCAATCACAATATTTTAGTATTTACCTAGGTGTAGGCCATATTTAACACCTAGGCTAGTAGCTAAGTTATGCTTTGTAGCTGCAAGAGTATTTTGACTAAAAACTTGCTCCGACTTTGATGTATTTATAGTTAATCTTGACATTTTTCTATATAAATCAAGCACTTCTTTAATTGTGTGACAATTTTCCTAATTGGCTCTAAAGAAGAAAATTGTATTATCTGCAAACATAACCTCTTCCCAAAGAGAGAGCCTCCCATCTTTCTTTTACCGTGAAGTTTTCAATGATCATTAAGAGAACATTTGCCCCCATAATAAATACACAAGGCAATAGAGGATCACCTTACCGCAAGCCTTTTTTAAGGACAAAATGGTTTTGACATCCGACCATTAATAGAAATATGATAAGTGACTATAGAGACACATTGCCTAATCATATTGACCCAAGATTGTGGAAATCTCATTCTGATCATGACCGATTCAATGAATTCCCAAGAAATTGTATCATATGATTTAGCAAAATCAACTTCAAAGACCATCCAAGCTCTATTATCCCTCCTCGTGCTGTGGACTTTGTGTAAAGCTTGAAATGTAACCAAAATGTTATCTGAAATGAGCCTTCCCTTAATGAAAGTACTTTGGTGTGGAAGAATATATTAATGCAAAAATTTTTTAGCAACCAATTACAAAGAACCTTGGAAATGTTTTTATAATTGACATTACATAGATTGATTAGTGTATAATCTCAAAAGGTTTTAGTAGAGGGGATCTTTTGAAAAAAGGTGATGACAGTTGTGTTTATTACTTTTAATAGGAAGCATGTCCGTTAAAGTCTTATGATCATCATGCGAAAATCATCCTTCTTTAGATGCCAATTTTTTTGAAAAAAATTGAGCATGAAATCCTTCAATCCTAGGAGCATTATCAAGACAACATTGGTGATCTCATCCGAAAAGGTATGTTGCAAAAATAATTGATGCTCTTCTTTTGTCAAGCAAGGAATGGGAAGATCTTCCAAAGTTTGTAAAATACTAACTCTTGAAGCAATATAGTTCCTGTGAAACTCAGGTAAAGAAAAAATAGAATGAAAGTAGTCAACAGAAAAAATAAGAATAGCATCTGTATCATCTATCCAATTATTATTTTGCTTCCAACAAGCTATTCTCTTTCTCCGCATATTTCATTTGATCTATCTCCAACTATATATTCGCAATCGTTCATTCAAAATATTGTATCCATGTTAATTAGTTAACGGGGATTGAAATGTTAATTAGTATTCATTCTCAACTTTTCAATTGAAAAAACTTATTTCACCTCATTAGACTCAAACCATGTGCGTCTTACTAATCAAACCTAGATTAAAAGACAAATTATAATTAAAAAAATATCGAACATTTTTGTTAGGGTGGGAAAAAATGCATCTCATTCAATTTAGTAAGATGTAAATCCTAATATGATATAGGCTAACAAAAACTAATCAGATGAATTCCCCCCACTCTATCATGTTTGACATTTTGTTAATTATAATTGATCTCTTAATGTGATTTAATTAGTACATGTGCAATGCACTAGTTTGAGTCTAATTTTCTTATATCAAAAATATTTAGTGCATGTGATTTAATTTATCTCACATTTACAGCGACAAATTAATTCCATAACCTAGACACAAAATAATTAAATATATTTTTTTCTTTTAGTTTGAATTTAGAGGCTTCTTAAACATTATTTTATATCAATACAACAACATATTTGCTATTGTCGTAAAAACATATTTCCTTTCCATTACAACAATAATTGTGATTAGAAAATTTATTATTTCTTAACAGAATATGTTTCATTTTACAAAAAAAAATTAATGGTCATCCACTTTTTTAACTTTCAAATTCAAAATTAATTGTACTCCTTACATTTTTATAAGAAATTTTTTAAACATTTTTTATCCTTAAATATAAAAAATTGTTAACATATTTTTTAATAAATAAACTATTATATTTTTATTAAATTAAAAATAAATAAATATACTTATTAATTTATTTTTAAAAAAATATTTATGTATAATTTATAATAATTAAAATATTACTGTATTATTAATTAAATAATTAATTTTTATTACTCTGCATAATTCAATTAAAAATATCTGGGTATCTGTTAACAAATTTTCATTTCCTGCCGCCATGCCAACTTTCCTTCATCGTCGAAATACACTCCGCCGCTAACACCACCAGTTCTGGCGACGCCTCTTCATCGACCACCTCCTTCTCCCATATGGCCACCATCAAACCCCTCAGCTCAGATCGGGCACTCTTTCTCCACCGTTGAACAGCCGCTTCCTCCCGTAGACGGCCTTCGAGTGTGAAAGAGCCACAGAGTGCGCGCGCTGATGGCGGCAGCGGGTGGAGACACGTGGAAGGCTCATTTGGCTATGGCGTTGACGCAGATACTCTATGGAGGCTACCACGTTATCACCAAGTTGGCGCTCAACGACGGGATCAATCAGTTAGTCTTCTGCCTCTTCCGCGACCTTATTGCTCTTGTTTTTCTGGCCCCCATCGCTATTTTTCGTGAAAAGTACGTCCTTCTTTTCTTTTTTCTTCTTATAATGTTGAATTGTGCTGGGTCGTAATCGCTATGTCCAATACCCTTTAAATTTTCTTACAAGATTCAATTGAATGATGCCAAAAACAGTATATCAAATCCTTATTGGCATCGTAATTAGGGTTTCTTTTTTTTTTTCTCAAGAGTCTAATTTTTTTTTTTGTTTGGATTCTGAAAGACATTGAACTGTTGAATCGGATGAATGGACCTTTCCACATTCTGGAAATTGTGGGCTATAATAATCATCTCTCATTTTGCAAGAATTTTCCCTTGATCGGAGGAAAAAGAATTGTTCTTGAGTTTTGTAATGGGCTAAGAGGAACAAACATGGCAAGCAGAAGCACTAGAAGGTGGTAATGGTGGAAACGTGGAAGTAACACTGTAATAACAGTTTAGAGTTCATGAGCTGTGATTTAAAAATCATCAAATAATAAGGGTTTGTGCTAGAAGATAAATTGATATTTGATTTCTCGGTCATAAATGTTCTAACCATACTATTCTGTGTTGAGAGTAGACAGACGCGACCGCCCTTGACTGTGCGACTCCTTTTGTCGTTCTTCTTTCTAGGCTTAACAGGGTAAGGCGCTTGTTATGGCCGCATCTTTGCTAACTTCTTTAGCTATTAATTTGCATGTCATTTTTGCTTCTTTTTCTGACAATCAGGATATTTGGCAACCAGATTTTGTTTCTTCTTGGTTTAAGCTATACTAATCCAACTTATGCTGCTGCCACGCAACCTGCCATTCCAGTCTTCACATTTCTTTTGAGTGTGATGATGGGGTCAGTTTCACAGTTCTAATTTCTACTTGATTAGTGTGGTTTTAAATCCTTAATTCTATTATGCTATTACTCTGTAGAAGATAAATACATAAACATGGCACACTCTTGATTGTAGATCTGAAATGTACAACAATGAACTTATCCAGATACACCAGAACATAAAGTGATGTGTACTTTAATTAACTTATCCATGCAGTACAGAAAGAGTAAGCTTACTTAGATATGAAGGCCTAGCAAAGGTTGGAGGAACTTGTGTCTGTGTTTCAGGTGCCATATTTATGGCTTTGTGTCGTGGTCCTGCACTCATTGGTTACAAAGAAACAGATATCATAGCAGAAAGTGAGGTATTTGCTAAAGGTCAACTTGACTCATCTGGATGGTCGATTGGTGGTTTGCTGGGCATTGGGTTAGACCAATTTCACATTGGACTTATGTGCTTGATAGGAAACTGCATTTGCATGGCTGCTTTTATAGCCATCCAGGTACATATCTTTTTTTTTTCCTTTTTATAATATATTCTATGATTATAAGTTATTATCAAATTAAGGAAAAATTTGTTGGTTATTATCACTTGTCTATTACCCCTAAGGTTGCAACGTCTCTGTATTACACCTGGGACCACTCTAAGGAATAGGGACAAGTGACTGTGGGCACTTATTAGTTTTTCCTTCTAATTTAAACTCCTATTTTATTTCTTAATTCAGTCTCAAAACTACATTTGTTTTTCTGTTGCCAGTTGACTTTGGAAAGGTGAGTTTCCGTCCAATGGTTTAGGGTTTTATTTTGATGTATGGTTCAAATAAGATTATATAATCAGTAGTTTGAAATCAAGTATCTCTACACAGCCCTCCCTATGTGCAGAATATATGGAACTGGTTATCTGGAATTTTGGTTAACAATGGATTTCCCATAACCTGCTGAGGAATTGTCTTCTTTACTTTTTCGTGGTGAATTAAAATAAATGCAAAATTCTCTGTACTTGTCCTTAATTTGCGGTATAATAGCATCTTTTCTTAAAGACTAAGATCATAATAATTGCAAAATTCTTTGAATGGAAATAAAGGCTAAGATCATAATAGTGTAGGTCTTCTAACCTAAGTGCATTAGGATGTTGCATGTAGCTTAAATTCTAACCCCACTTATTGACTTTGTTGACACTTTTCACTATTGCATTGGGCATGACAAGCGAAATGTCAAATTCAGTCTTATATGTGCAATTTTTGGTAATTTTTAATCTGGCTTCGATGAATAACTTTCAGGCTCCTGTGTTAGTAAAGTATCCTGCCAACATATCTGTAACAGCATATTCTTATTTATTTGGAGCTATTCCGATGGTGATAACAGCATTCTTCACGACTAATAAGTCAAATGATTGGAGATTGACAGAATCAGAAATATTTGCTGTTATTTATGCTGTGAGCCGCTGAAACTTTTGGTCCCATTTGTTGTTTAAATTGTTTTATACATGAGCACAACATATGTTCCAATAATTGTGTGCACGACTGCACGTCCAATTTATAAAACTTACAAAACAAAAAAGCAAAAAAAATCTCGAACTGGAGATCAACAAGGGAATGTAAATAAAAGCTTGAGTTGGCTTAAGAGCAATTAAAGAATATAAACTGACACTAAGACATTTGGCGGTGGCCAAAATTTTAAAAGAAAATGATTCTTTCATTTGGTTCTCCCCTAATAAATATGCTTTTTGTTGTCTGCTTGGCATTGTTTGTATCCCCAAGACTTGATAGCTCGAGAGAATCAATCAAATCAAGCTCTTGGAGACTGCTTTAATTCATATAGCGATTTGTACAACCTGCAAACTTTATGAGAGTTTTCAGAATTTCTCAAACCAAGAGGAATCTCCGTGTATACTTCCTCATCCAGATTACCATTTAAAAATGCATTTTTAACATCCAATTGGTGAAGTAGCCAATCTAGATTAGCAGCAAGTGATAATAATACCTTAACTGAGTTGAGTTTGGCCACAGGGGAGAAGGTCTCTTGATAGTCTATACCATAGGTCTGAGTGAAACCCCTTGCAACTAATCTAGCTTTATATTTGTTTATACTTCCATCAGGGTTATATTTCACAGTGACAACCCACTTACTGCTAACAACAGATTTTCCCTTTGGCAAGTTGGTGATCTTCCAAGTTTGATTCTTGTAAAGTGCCCTTAGTTCTTCATCTATAGCCTGCTTCCATTTATGATCGGTTATAGCTTCTTCAAAACTATTAGGAATTTTCACTTCTTCATATGGGGAGAAAGTTTCTTATAGGAAACATACCTTGCAATGGGATGTTGGGTACAACTCCTCTTCCCTTTTCTAAGAGCAATAGGCCATTGCAGGTTTTCAACACTCACCTCAGGTGTGGAGTCATGGCTTTGCATCGGAACAGAAATGGGTTCAGCTCTTTCTCTGTTATGGTCCTGTTCACTAGCACGATTAAGTTCCTCCACCCTAGTTTTGAGGTCATCAAGGGACAGGCTAAGAGGTTCAAAAGGGTTAACATCCTGAAAATCTGATCTATTTTTGGAATTTCCAGAATTTGTAGAGTCTGTTTGGTGAGGATCTGAACTGATTCTTGGTGAAACATCAGTATATTGAGGTAAGAATCAAAGGAGTCAGTATGTTCAAAGGTGTCATCTAGTGATATATGGGGAACATCCTGTTTCTGCCCAGATTTGGAATATTTATAATGATCATTACAAATCAGCCATTTATTCTCAGATTTATTCTCAGTAGTCTCCCCCTGAATGGGTGATTTGGAGTAATAGGGTTGTTTTTCAAGGAAGTGAACATTCATGGTCACATATACTTTATTGGTGGCAGGAGAAAAACATTTATACCCTTTTTGACTAGAAGAATAACCTAAGAAAATGCATTTTATGGCTTTAATATCCAATTTTCCTACTCCCTCATTATAAACAAAAGCTGTGCACCCAAAAATCTTTTGAGGGATGTTGGTAGTAAGTGGAGAGTTAGGAAAACTTTCAGAAAACTTTTGAAAGAGTGTGGCAAAATTTAAAGTTTTGGAGGGTAAGCGATTTATAAGATAAGCAGATGTAAGAATAGCATCCCCTCAAAATTTGTTTGGAACATGACTTTCAAACATAATAGCTCTAGCTACTTCAAGTAAATGTCTGTTTTTTTTTTTTTCAGACACACCATTTTGTTGGGATGAGTAAACACAAGATGTTTGATGTTGTATGCCTTTTTCTTTCAAAAAATTTTGAAAATTCTGATTCACATATTCCCTCCCATTGTCACTTCGAAGAATTTTTATGGGCATCTGAAACTGATTTTGAACAAAGGCATAGAAGTTTTTGAAGATATTGAAAACTTTTGATTTTTCTTTCATCAGAAATACCCAAGTCAAGCGAGAATGATCGTCAATAAATGTTACAAACCATCTTGTTTTAGAATTTGTTTCAAATTTGGATGGACCCCAAACATCACTGTGGATGAGAGCAAAAGGGTGACTTGGTGTATATTTGTGGGATGGATAAGAATTTCGAACTTGTTTAGCAAAGTGGCAAGTCTCACAATGAAATTCAAAAACTGACTCTATTGATATTTGGAAATAAAAATTGCAAATAATGTGGACTAGGGTGGCCTAGCCTAGAGTGCCATAACATCAAGTCTTCATGAGACATAACAGACAAAACAACATAACTTTTATTTGATGAAGATCCATGGATATAGTAGAGCCCATTTCTCTTCTGAGCATTGCCAATCATCCTCCCCAAGGCCAAGTCCTGAAAATCACAGCCACTTTTGTCAAAAATAGCACGACAGTTTAATTGAGATGCCACACATTTTATAGACAATAACCTGCACTTAATCTCAGGTACATATAACACAATCCTTCAACACAATATTTTCAGAGATTATCACAGTGCCAGATCCGAATACTTTAGCATGCTGTCCATTTGCAACTTCAACAGTCTCATGCTTAGAAAATTCACTAAATTTAGAAAACAGATTCCTAAAACCTGTGACATGATTAGATGCCCTAGAATCGACGATCCAAATATTGTTGGATTTTTTCATACTATCAAAAGTTTGAGTTAAAGCTGTACTTGCTTGTGCCATAGTCACAGAAGGAGTATTATTCTCACATATTTTTGCAGATGCAGAATGTTTCTCTAGAACTTTCCTTAAGACCAGCAGCTCTTCAGTGCTTAATCCCCCAATTTCAGCTTCTGTTGTGGTCACTGACAGTCCCTTGCCTTTCTGTTTGAAATTCTGAGGCTTGCCATGGAACTTCCAGCAAGTTTCTCGAGTATGTCCGTTTTTATTGCAGTGATCACACCTTCCAGACTTCTTACCCTTCATATCTCCTTGATTTCCTTTGACAGCAAGTGCAGAACCTTTAAGTGAAGTAGAAGAAGGCGTAGAATGTCCCTGGGTCAAAATCTTTCAACTTTCTTCGCATTTGAGCATGTTAAAGGCATCTTCTAGTGATGGAAGAGGCCTCATGCCCATTATACGTCCTTGAACATCCTCAAAGGAGTCATTGAGTCCAAGTAGAAACTCATAGCACCTTTCTCGATCAACAATCTTTCTGTAGTACTATCCATCTTTCTGGAAAGTCCGTTCATGGACCTCATAAATATCAATTTGTTGCCATAGCCTCATGAGAGCACTGTAATATTGAGTGACAGATTGCTCTCCTTGCAAGAGATTTCGAAGCAATCGCTTCACTTGAAAAATGGCAGCTGTGTTCTCCTTGACTGAGTAGGTGCGCTTCACAGATTTCCATATTTCTTTGGCTGTAGTTGCCAATAGGTAATTTTCGCCAATCTCGGCAGTCATAGAATTCATGAGCCAGGCCATGACCATATTGTTTTCTGCCCACCAAGACTCAAACTTTGCATCTGTAATTGCTGGAGGATTCTCTGTGAGGTATTTCTCGTAATTCTTTCCTCGAACAAACATCAAAATATGTCGCGACCATTGGAGGTAGTTGTTGCCATTAAGACGATGAACAATCACAGCCTACGAGAACAAATCGTTCCCTGAACTCAACGTCCTGAGGGGAGAGTTCATGCTGTGCACATTCAAACCAGTACCTTGTGAGTCTTCGTTGGCCGACGATATTGTGCCGTCACTTGTGGTGAAGACTCGCGGCTGGTTTGTTAGAGCTGCCCTATATGCCATTGATCACAGACCAAGGCTCTGATACCATGTTATAATTAGAGTAGAACAGCACTGATATTTTATTCATAAGAAGTGTTTACATATATAGAAGGGATGAGAGGAAGAGAATCTACACAAATCACTAATATCTCTCCTATAATCTTGGCAAATCAAATCAGATGCTGATAAGAGATAAAATCAAATATAACAGATAGCAGATCTTATTTAAATAAGGAAAACTAGGTCTAATCTTGATATGGGCCTATGACGCCTTAGGCCTTTATCCAACAAATAAGAATTACAATTGCATTCTGCCTTCTTCTTCTCTTTTCTCCCAAAAACCTTCACATATAAAACATCTTCCAAGTTTATTACCAGCTACCAAGCTAGCATGTTACTTTTATTCATATTAATAATTAGGTAGAAATTTTTTCCTGGTGCCATGAAGTCAGGAATCATAATTGAGAATGGGATGGAGTTTTTCTTACATTGGTTTACTGGTTTTATCTTGCTGCTCGTGTAAGAATGTCAAAGCTGACTATCTATGTCAAAGCTGACTAGCATAGATAGTCAAAGACCAGTGGTATTTACAATAGTTTATTTAGGTTGGGAAAGGACTGACAAATACTGGGGAGAAATATTTGAAATGTGTTTATTTGAGCATTTAAGGATTGGCAGTATATTACGTTTCTGATTACATAGTAATTCAGTTGTATTTATATCTGTCTTTTGGTTGCATTTCTTAACTTACTTTCAATATGGATGTTTTAATCGATATTTTCCTTGTTGATTTAGGGAGCAATTACTTCTGCCCTTTGTTATGGGCTTTTGACATGGTCCAATAAGATCTTGGGGCCAGCTATGGTTGCCCTTTATTATCCAGTTCAGCCAGTAGCTTCTGCCCTCTTGTCACAAATTTTCCTTGGGAGTCCAATTTATTTAGGAAGGTATAGCTCCTATTACTTCCAGTATAATATGATGCATTTATTTTCAAGAGATTCTTGGGTAGAGCCATGTAACAAATTAATTGTAGAGGTCGTAAGCATGTCAGATGTGGGTCCAATTGAAATGTTTACTTGACATGTTCTTATATTTCTTAATAACTGTCTAGGTTTATGTTGACGCTACACAAGGCCCTATTCTATTTTAATTAGGGTTTTTATTATGTTATATGCCCTACTCCTTTAGCATTTAATTTATATGCCCTACTCATTTATATATTATAAATGTTAAAAGTTCAAAATATTTTTAATCTTTATAATTTTATTTCTTTAAAATATAAGGATCAATATTTAAGTGGTTGAAATTATAAGGACTGAATTGTAAGAAGCTGATGGAACCCTCTATTCTAATAAGCTTTAAACAAGCATAAACCAGAAACTACACCACAAATGGGACTGAAAATTACTAATACCGAATAGCAAAGTTGGATTACAGCGAAATAAGGAACTGAAAATTACAACGTACTGAAACAGAAACAGCACAGAATACACTCCACCAAACAACAATCACAAAATATAAGTCACTCACTTACATACACACACTAAGCAGAAGATAAAATGATGAAGAAAGATGACTTCCTCCACCCCCAACCTGACATTCGAGAGGCCAGAGCTCTCCTTACCACTCTCAATATTCAAAATACTCCACACCTCTCTCTAGGCAAGGAGGAAGATTTAAAGACCCAAAAAGTGACTCTGACACAACCCTTACCCCTAGAAGACTAACACATCACTAGGGATCTAACACATCACTAGACCATCAATTACTTTTCCTCTTATAGGTCATTGCCTTCATTGATTTCCTCTTATAGGTCTTAGTAAAATCATGAGCTCTATCATTACCCTCCTCTTGAAGTTTCACCTTGTCCTCAAGGTGAAATTTAGAAGTAAGCATTGATGGCTTCTTCCCAAAACAGCTCAGCTTCTGTTGTTTGCTTGAAGAGTGTCTAGCAAATAATAGATGTGGCTGCTGATGTTGTGCAGCGACACTTATTGAGATCTTTCCACTAGCAGTCTGTTCATGACAACTCAATTCAAGTAGATGCTCAATCCTATTTGATCCCGGATCAAGAAGAATCATGCAAGGACTTGTATGGTTAAGAACTGTGATTTTTTTAATGTTGCAACACTTTACCACCTTTTCTCTAGTAGTTGCTGTGAAACAATTCTTTGTTGCAGTAAAATGTAGCTTACCTGACGAAACACTTGTATTGCCAAAATATATACTTTTAGCTCCTTCACTTCCTTCCTCTTCAAGTCTGAAGCTTTTGTGGTTACAACCCCGAAGTTTGACTTTGTTAACAGCAACTAATGATGCCACAGATTGGGACATGCGTCCTTGAAGAAAATTGCTTGACTCCTTAGACATGAGGAGTGAAGTGGGTTTTACCAAAAAGACCCTTCTGCCCACTGTAAGAGTTCCTCCGTGGGTTAGGCATCTTGCAACATTGCAATCCTCAAATAATGGTGCTCCAATCCCCTGACATACGAGACCAGGATGGTCTAAAACAGCATGCACATGTGCAATTGATCTATTCAATCCTATCAACAAAATAGTCAATTTACATTTAGTTGGAGCCGCCAATGTTCTGACAGCAAACCTTCCATCATTCACAACTTTGTCAGTGGTCCGAATGATCCCTTGTTGGAATATAAGAAATTGCTCAACTTCTTTCTCTGCCCCTGCGCAGCCACCTGCCCCTTTTCCCTTCCTTTGCAGCTTTCTTCTACATCTGTCCCTCCTTTCGGCCGGGAACAACCATTGAAGAACCCTTGTTTGCAAGTTTTTGTCTCCATTGCTATGCCAAAACAGTCTTCTAGTGCCCATAGTTGCGTCCATCTGACCCCTTGTTGCTGAATTGGCATTGTTTACAAGAGAGAATAATATAACCACCTTGCCCCTCACTTCCATCGAGTGCGAACCCCCTCTTACCCTTACCAAACAATGAACTTCACGTGGCTGGAAATCATTGTGGAATTTCGCTAGATAAGAAAACGAGGTAACTGAAATTTGATACATAGAAAATTCGCTCTTATCACCTGTGTCCTTGTGAGCTTTGGCCAACACAAACTGGATTTGTTTGCTAACCCAGAAAATTTCACTAGATAAAACCAAACCCTTGAACGGAGAAAAGGGACGGGCAAAAATGGTTGCCCTCGGCACCCAATCATGAAAAAGGACAACCTTACACCCACCTTTTCTTGTCGTGTCAACATTGAAGCAGCAGGAAAACTCTTGTGGATGGGTCGACGAGAATGAGAACTCCCTCATAGAACGCTGCACCTCGCTGTGCTTGAAGTACTGGTCGCTGCATGTGGCTTCTAAATTCGGGTCACAGACTCGGGTGCTTGTGTGATAATGGATAGGCTTGATTATGACTTGAATAATATGTTGGGCCTGTATGTTATTTGCACTAAACATGGCCCATTCAGCCCCAAAAATATTCCCTCCTTGCCAACGTTTTGGGCTTCTTCCGTTTTTTATTTGCCCTACCCGATCTAATACCCAGCAATTCCTCTCATCTTTGCTGTCTGTCTCTTTCAAAATCACCGATAAAACCCTACCTCGCTGATTAATGCTCTTCAGCTTCACTCTTGTGCTTTGTCCAACTTCAATATGCTCAGGTTCCCTTCCAGGGTTCCAATGCAACCAGTGATTCTTGGTCGTGGGCTGGATACACTCCCTCTCAAGTTCTTCCTCTATCTTTGCGTCGTCATCTACGAATCTTGGCAACGCTGCAAGCTTCATCTCCCGACTCACTTCTTCTGCAGCAACATTTATTTGTTGAGCTTCTCTATATGACACTGTTTTGAAAGCACCGAGGACTTCTTGTTTCATCATCGTTTTTCTTAGGTTGTCGCAAAAAACTTCTTCAAGCTTCTCTTCTGAAAAAGGTGACAGCTTTAACCGTTGTTCAGCAACAGGCTCTCTATCTCCCCCTTCTACTTCAACTTTTAATTTCTTTTCGGCCTTAGCACGGATCTCCATTTTGTCTAAAAGCCTTGTGCACTTATCCAAATTCTTCTGCATTTCTTCAATTCTTTCTGCCATGCCTGAACACATTTTTGACATTATGGTTGCTATTGTTGCCATTTCTTCCATGCTCCCAAGGATTGATCTGCTCTGATACCAAATGATGGAACCCTCTATTCTAATAAGCTTTAAACAAGCATAAACCAGAAACTACACCACAAATGGGACTGAAAATTACTAATACCGAATAGCAAAGTTGGATTACAGCGAAATAAGGAACTGAAAATTACAACGTACTGAAACAGAAACAGCACAGAATACACTCCACCAAACAACAATCACAAAATATAAGTCACTCACTTACATACACACACTAAGCAGAAGATAAAATGATGAAGAAAGATGACTTCCTCCACCCCCAACCTGACATTCGAGAGGCCAGAGCTCTCCTTACCACTCTCAATATTCAAAATACTCCACACCTCTCTCTAGGCAAGGAGGAAGATTTAAAGACCCAAAAAGTGACTCTGACACAACCCTTACCCCTAGAAGACTAACACATCACTAGGGATCTAACACATCACTAGACCATCAATTACTTTTCCTCTTATAGGTCATTGCCTTCATTGATTTCCTCTTATAGGTCTTAGTAAAATCATGAGCTCTATCAGAAGCAAAGTTTAGAGATTGAGTTACAACCAAGTTAAAACCATAAGGATTGAGTTATAATGCATCAAAGTTCAGGACCTGAGTTACAATTGGAAAAACTATAGGGACCAAATAATTAATTTTTGGAAAAATTAATCTTTTAGTCCTCCAACTTTTAAGTCACTTGTAACTCAGTCCCTCAATTATGACTCGTTGTGACTCAGTCCCTCAACTATAACTCGCTTATGACTCAGTCCCTCAACTTTTAAATTACTTACAAATTAGTTCCTTAACTTTTGTTAATTTTTTTTTTCATGTTAACTTCTATCTCACATTAATGAATAAGAAGAGGGTATTTTAAAATAATATATGAGCATTTTTTTACCCCTCTTATTTGATAAAAAAAATTAAAAAATAAGTATCAAGTTATAGGTAAATCAAAAGTTGAGGGACTGAGTTGCAGCGAGTTATAGTTGAAAGACTGAGTCGCAGCGAGTCATAGTTGAGGGACTGAGTTACAAGTGAGTTAAAAGTTGAAAGATTAAAAGATTAATTTTTTTCTTAATTGTTTCTTGAATTTAAATAGGAATGATATTGAAAAAACATAATTATTACCTCTACAGTGTGCCTTATATTAAATGCCAAAAAAAATTGTTGAAGACTAGAGGGCGTATGTCATTATGGACTACACTTGCAAAATAATACCACTCAACAATAAAATATTTTAGGGAGAAGCACTTGGATGTGGCAATGTCTCATGTAACCGGGCCTTTCAAATATACTACAATAGTCCAAAAGCCTCTTAGTTGGTGAGGAGTGTGGAAGTGGTCCAGCGGTGGATGCAGAGTTTTTAAAGAATCCTTGGGCCTATTATTTTAGATAAGATCAATTCAAAGTGCTTAGTAAATTGCTGCAAGAAGGCCAGCCTAGAAATTTCGAAAGTAAAATGGTGTCCAAAAACTGTTGTTCGGACAAATTTTAATATTTGCTGCTGTAATGATCCTTGAGGGCAAGAATCAATTTGAGGATGAGAGTGTGTCGCATGGTGATTAGGGAACTAATAGTTAGATGAGGGAAATAGTTAAGAAGGTGAGTTTGTTAGGGACTCCCTTATTAGTATAAATAGGGGTTAAGGAGATGTAGTGTCTTATGAATGAAATAAACCCTTTTGCTTTTAGCATTGAACGCAAACTCATTTATAAATATGGTCCATAGATGAGATGATGGTAAACCATGAATGCCTCATCTTTTGTAGATCAGGCCTCTGTAAAAATTATCTTCATTTTAAATTTTTTATCTAAAATTTTTCTTGGATTAATATTGAGTTAGCTGCTATAGACCTGGTCTCGAACCGCTAACCCAAAAATCTAGTTGCCTAATTTCCTAAGGGAAGACTTTTAGTGGTTCCAACGTAATTTTATACTTTGTTTGGTTGAACTTGCCGTAGTTCCCTCCTTTATTTTTGCATCATCTAGAGATGGCATTTTAATATAAATGTGTAGCTAAAACATACTTTTTGTGCTCTAACTTTATATAAGATTTCAATTTAGTCTATTAATTTTGTAAAAGATATTTTTAGTTTTTTATCCCCAACATTGTTAGTTTCAAATGAGTAGTTTTTATACCAGTAATTGTTATTTTTTAAAAATAAATTTAATGAGTCAACATTTGATAATATCTTAAAAATATTTAAAAGTTCAATGTAAAAAATTTTTGTGATGAAACTAACGGTGATAGAATTAAAAGACTAGAAATACATTTTATAAAATTAAAAGATCAAAATGAAATTTTGTATAAAGTTAAATGTTTTAATTTGCCTTGTTTGGATTCTGGTGATCCTGATTTGCACTCCAATTACAATAGTGTCGTGGGGGGATGTTTGATAGTTGCTGGACTGTATATGGTTACTTGGGCATCTTCTAGAGAAAGACAGGCAACTCCCTGGGCCATTCCTCACGATCCCCATGTCTCATGGGTCTCTGAGCCGTTCATTCATAGAGATGATCTGCTCAACAGGAATTCCACTTCGAGAGATGTATCACCAAAGCCTTCAGATTAAAGGAGTTGGATTTCCAGTGCCTTGTAAAGTTGTCTCGATTTCTCAGTCTGCTATGTCGGTGAATTTGTATGTCAAATGTTAATTAAGAATTTTTAATATTAGATGTTTTCAAGTCCAAAAATTGTGCTTGAATTTTAAAATGCAATTTTCGGTTCATGATTACCTTGCTATGTAACAAACGGATCTGTCTTAGTGAACAAAACCGTTATGTTTGAGTAGTTAATTCACTTGTGTTTTATTTGAAACTTGCTGGCACCAGTGAAGTTGAGAAGTTAATTCACTTGCGTCTTTTTTTTTTTTTCCCTCATCAAAACAGGACTAGCCGGAGCTAGTAAAAACAAAAGAAAACTCAAGTTTGTTAGGAATTAGTAGGACAGACTCCCATTATAGTCAGACAAAATGAGCGCCTCACAACCAGTAGGAATATCCTCAAGAAAGACAAAGGCCCTGTTAAGATCTTGAGCTATCTTCGTCAAAAAGTCTGCACAAGTCATCTGTTCATGAGGAGCATATAAAAGTTTATATCCTTCATGAGAACACAAAGTCCCTTGAACCTCAAGAATGTCTTTAAAAAAAGGATGGGTTTGATTAACGCCTCTATGGATGTAATGCACAGCATCTATGGAATCTGTAAAGATCTCTACCTTATCCAAGTTCATGCCTGCGCATAATTTCAAGCCACACTTGATGGTTTTAATTTCAGCAATTGTGATCGGTAGATAACCCAAACTATAAGTAAAACCACCTAACCATTCACCTCTATGGTTTCTGGCTAAACCTCCATAAGTCGCACTACAAGATTGAGAGTGACACGTCCACATCTACTCGAATTTTATCATGTGTAGGAGCGGTTTAGTTGTAGTTCTGAGTAACTCCATAGTTTTGTTGAACTGTGATAGAACCTAAATCTCGTTCTTCTAGTAGCCTCCTAATGCAGACGCTGAGGTTATCCCTTGGAAGGTGATTAGTTCCTTCAAACACATCTTTACATCTGTGTTCCCACAATAACCAATATATGTTTCTAAACACTTTGATCCACGGCCATTGTTTAAACATACCCTTGCTAAGGTGGTGTGTAGTGCTCCATCTTATCCATTCCTACAAGCTACAAGAAAAAAAGTGGTTATAATAAATAGGATTAATAATTTCCTTCCATATGTTTTTCGCTCTTAGGCAAATCCTTCCATCTTATCCATTACTTGCGTCTTTTTGGTTTGGTTCAAAATGCAACTGTAATCTGACTTTTGTTGGATACGGCCTGATGGCTCCAACAAAATCTGTCACCTTAACAACAGAACTGGTCTTGCTTAAGTCACATGTTATGAGGAGCTGTTTAAGTAGAGTAAATAATTTTATTTAAAATTTTAAGTTAATTAATTAACTCAGTATTATATAATAATAATATTATCCCCAAAAAATGTTATTTCTCATTCTAAGAATATTTTCAATTTACATACACAAATGTATATTAGATAAATGAAAGTATATTTTTAGAAAATTGAATTCATTTTTAGCTCTAAAATTTTTAGTATTCTTATTAATTTTTTGGGTACCAAGTATTTATGGGGCTAGGCACTTGGCTGGGATCAGTGCCCGCCCAACGTCGCCCTTGAACATCCTTTGAGCCTTAGAGCTATGGTTGACTTTGAGTTGACAGAAATCATTGTCATATGAAATTGAATCGAGTGGTTAAAATGTTTCCAAGGAAAAACAACTGCTAACTAGTAATTAAAATTATTTTTTATATGGACAAAATTTTATAATTTCAAGTCATTTCTTCTGCAGGAAAAAAAATTGTTCAATTTTCATTTACTGGGTAAAATTAACTAGGGGAAAGCAGAAAGGATCCCTTCAAATGAGTACTTGACTACCTCCGTCAATTCATCACTTATTTGTTATTAAATAGAAATACCAACTATCGCTATCCATCATTACCAAGGTACGTAAAATCGGACCGGTCATTGAACCAATCATGACACTGGGTCACGGGTTAGTGGTTCAATTAGGATTGAATCGGGGGTTGAACCGGTGGCAAACTGGTCATGATTAAAATAATATAATTTAAATAAAAAGACATTAATTATAAAAATATTCAACCAAGTCCAACCACTCAAAAGTTTAATAGTAATAAAATACAACACTTTAAATATCTATCATTATAATTACAACTCTTCAATCTCAAAAGTCTAAAGAAGAGATAGAGATAGAGCTAGAGAAGAGACGGAGATTGAGTTGGAAAAGAGACGGAGAGTCAGAGATTAAGCTGAAGAAGAGATGGAGATAGCAGAGATAGAGATAGAGCTGGAGTCTGGAGAAGAGATGGAGACTAAGCTAGAGAAGAGACGCTGATTAGGTTAGGGCAAGAAAGGAGAGACACAGATGAAAGCCGAACTAAATGCTGTTTAAAAATCTGAATTGGACTTAGCGTGCTCTACCTCTAATTTCTCATTTTTATTAACTTTAGTTTTACTTTTTTTTGTTATCTTATTTCTGAACTTAACACTCTGAAAAATCAAAAATGAAAAAAAAATCCTCCAAAAAAAATAACCCGGTTGACCCAGTCAACCTACCGGGTTAATTGGGTTATATCGGGTTGACCGGGTTACACCGGTTCATTCCCTCATCGGTTTAGGAGTAAACCCAGACCGGATAAGGGACTGGGTCACCGGTTTTCGAGTTGACCTAGTCGGTCTAATCCGGGTTTTAATACCATGATCATTACACACGAGCTCAAGAGGGTAGGCACAAAAAAAATAAATAAATAACAAGGGTAGGCAAAATTTTTGTTAAAGGGGAAAAATATCCATAAATTCTTCCTCTACATAAGGTTTGGTTCAAAGGAGGGTAGGGAGGGGTTTAACTTTAATGAACTCTCATTTGATTTGGAAGGAAGGAAGGAAAGAGGAGGGGAAGGGTTTTAACAATTTTTGTTTGATTCAAAAGGAGAAGGGAGGGAAGCTAATTATAAAATAATGTATATGCCTTTATGTTATTTTACTCCTTTTCTTTTATTAAAAAAAGATATTTATATCAGAATTTACTTTTATTTTTGAATCTAAAAATCTTTTATCTCATCTATTTATGATATTCAACTAGAAAATTGTTTATGATAAATTCCGGTAATATTTTTAATAAAAAAAGGTTATTTGATTAATTTTAACAAATTATCTCATTAATTTTAAATGTATTTTTTTAGTAGAAAAATTATTAGGGCTGGAATTGGAAACATATATATAGCAGCCCGTAATAAATAGTTAATGGCACGTAGAATTGGTGTTATATTTTTTATTTAATTGAAGCAATGATATTTAGAATATAATAATATTAATAAGGATTTTTTAATCATAAAATTTGCCTTCCTTCTAAATACCAAATTTTGTAATCAAACAACATTTTTCCCTCACCTTCCCTCCCCTCACTTCTCCTCCAAAAACTCCCAACCAAGCCAAATTCTATGAACACCTAATATTATTAAGTGAAGAATATAAAAGTACTCATAATATTGACTTAACAGGTGCAACTGTGCAAAAATCATTGAAGAGGCAAAATGCCTGTTAAATGCATCCACAGTCATGGCCACATGTCACCGAATCAGCATGGACTTTTCTCCCCTCTTCCACGAGTTGTCTCATCTTTCCTCTCATTCTCTCCCTTAAACACCCTCTCTCTACTAAAGCTAAGAATAAGGTCGAGCTTGGAGAGTTGAGCATAAAAAATCTGTTTAAATAAGGGTTTAAATTTTAAAAATAAATTTTTTTAAAATAATTGGGTTTAAAGACTTAGTCCTGATAAGCCCGGTAAAAAAAAAAAGCTCGGAACCCGAACGGCCCTTCAAGCCCTGTTATATTATTATTATTATTATTATTATTATTATTATTATTATTATTATTATTTCTTTAGTGGAACACATGTTTGAAGCCAATGATCTGCTCACCTGATCCTACACGCATTATATTATTATTAATTTTAATTTATTCTAAAATTAATTTAATATAATTTAATAAATATTAGTGTATAGCATAAAATTTATGATATTTTTTTATTTTTATATAATTATTATGTTTGTGTATTTGTAAAAAATATACTATTTTTTAACTAAGATTTAAATTTTATTACTAAACTTCTAAATGTATGCTGTTTAATTTTTAAAAAATTATGAGGATCTTAATTTTTTTTAATTTCAAAATATTTTAATTAATTTATAATGTTTAATTTTATTTTAATTTTTTTATTTTAAAAAAAAAGGCTTGTGGGCCGGCCCTGAGTGCTTCACATAAGAGCCGGGTTTGAAAAATAAGGTTCAAAATGAAGAACCGAGCTTTAGGGCCCAGGTCTTTAAGGGTCAAGTCTGCTCGTATTTCCAGCTTTACTCTCTACTTTTATTATCTCATTCCCGCCACCCATTCTCTCTCTCTCTCTCTCTCACTTCCATCATTTTCTTCACTTCCTGCAGCCATTAACAGAAAATCTAACACCTTGATAAAATGAAAATAACATGAAAAGGATGCTTGATATAAAACTTATGCTCAAAGGGATGAGAAATTATTTTATGAGAGAAGTAATGAGACTTTTAGACCCAAGATTTGTCAAAGGCAGCGGAAGTGATGGCTCGAGAGAATTTTTGAAAGTTGCTGAATTTGGCCATGGAATGTGCAAGCTCGGTGACAATGATGTAGCTATTGCTGTTGCAGCCAAACATCCGAAAGATCTGGCAGAGCTGATCCTCCAAGTAAGGGTTGCGAGCGTGGATGAGATCCAAGTCGACCTTGCCAAAGAACCAGGAGAACTCCACCATGCCTATGCTGCTCTTGTCCGCCTTCTGAATCAAAGCCTCGAGCTGGTCTTGCTTGGCTTCAACCTTGATCTCCTTCACTAATGTGAGAGCAGCGATTGAGAAAATGAGCAGAAAAGCGATGAAGAGAAGAAAGCAGCTCTTCAGGTTTGCACAATACACGTCACAAACTTTGGTTTTCATGAAAGAAAGCCCGTGGCGATTACTCCAATGAATATAACTGACATTTGGCTTCTTTAACAATTTTGGGATGATTGCACCCGCTAAAGATCATGAGCATTTTTGCCCTTTTAACTTTTTTTGGTTACATATTTTTATCTGGTTTTTCACGATTAAAATACGTATTTTCATGATTGATTTGATCTGGTTTTTCTCCTTAGATAATGGCCCTTAAATGACTGGCATCACGTAGTTTAAAGTCTTTAAATCAAACTATTTGTATTTTTTTTTATTCAGATACAGTTCTTCAGCTACTTGTATTCGTTTAGATGGATGGAGGTGCATGTTCTACGGCACAGGACATGTTACTAAACTTGCAAAGAGCTAAAGAGCCCCAAGATCTCCGAGACACCTCAAACAAACTCTTTCTGCTGCATGGAAAGCTAAGCAGCCATTTTGTCATATCAACTACTCACATACGATGCCATGTTTCCTGGACGAATTCTATTGGGCAAAGGCCTGGCAATAAGCCCATCGGTGACCCAACCTACCGTTTCCCCATCGTTTCTGACATGGTTGAATTCCCGTTCCACGTAATCTAGAGACAACTGCAGCCTCCCCCCAGGTTTAGAGTCATCAACAGTTCCTCTTCCTTCAATTCCTGCATTCTTCTCTAACCAATAGAGGTAACTGACCTGGAACAATGCCTTGAGCATATCCTGTGGCGAACAATTTTCTTTGAGCACAACCTGTACCAGGCAAATATGCCATTTAAGATCCATGCAACAAAGTAGAAAGAAATATCAGACCATGTGTAAGCTCAGAAGTGCCTCACTTTTTGCAAGACATCAATAAAATGATGAAAGTTCACAAACCACCTAAATTTTATACCTTCCTTCAATATTCAAAATGTGCACGGACCTCTCTTGAAACAACGTTATACCTCAATTTTTTTTTTATTTGTGCATATTTAAAAACAAAGTCTACTCTTTTTACATTTATACATATTTGGATAACTTACACAGACAAGAAAATACAAGGTGATAATGATTGATAACTTACACAGAATTTTCCCATATGCTCTGACAAGATGTAGCCCTCATTTTTATAGAGGCCAAAGAGAGCAAGCGCATCCTCCCAGCTATTGACGATTTCACTTAGCTTAGATCCCAGTTGCAGTCGGCTTTCAATTTCTGCAGCTGCATCTTTTGCTTCAGAAGATAAAATAAATGATGGTACCTATAATAAAATCGAACAAATCACGATACCTGTAACAAAATTGAAGAACAAGCCATAACACAAAATTCAAAGCATGAAAGCTGTAATACTACCAACCCACCGTAGATACCTGCCAACTTTATAGGCATTGGCAACCTATTCAATACATGCTAACGTAGAGGAGTGCGTAATATTATCGTAGATAGACCAATTGCCAGTCCACAAGTCTTTTACTCCCTCCGGACCAAAATATAGGATATTGGTAACTAATTTACAGTTCTTAAAAAATGTTAGTTGAAAACCTCAATTTCTTTTAAAAAAAAATTGCATCTTTCCAATTATACCCTCACTAAATACCTTATATAAGTGTCTTGATAATGATAATTAAAATTCTAATGCATTGTTTTTTCAAAGAGTAATAAATGAAGTAGAGCTATAGTTAGAAAAACAATTATAAAAGTTACAAAATACCCTATAATTTGAACCAAGCAAGGCTTCTAAAAGGTGCCTTATATTGTGGTCTAGAGGGAGTATCTCTTACAAATGCTAATTAGTAAAAGAGTGAAGGAATGGCTTTGGTTTCAGAGCACTGAAAACACCAAACCCTTCACAATTGCCAAAATACCATTTCCCGAAAGCTATTGTAGCAAGGGAAACACGGAGCTCTGATAATACCCCAAGTTCAATTTAATCACAAAAACTGGAAGAAGTCAGAAGGAGCAACCAGAAACAGCAAACAATGCTTTTAGCATGTTGCTAGATTCTGAACTAAAACATCAAACACAAGAACTTAATTTAAAAGATTCAGGTTGAAAATAAGAGAAAAATATTCAGAAAAACATGAATAAACAACCTTGTTGGCAATTGTTACATTTAGTATGGATACAGCTGGAAAAAGCGGCTCCTTGTCATTGACCTCTTTAACTGGAGGTGCTTGGCCACTTAGTAGATATTCACTGAAAACTAAACCTGCAAAAGCATTCAATGCAGATGACATGCAAATTGAATTTCTAATTTCCAAATGAGTAGTACTCTCTGTTCGTAAGTCACATTTAGCTAATTTACACAAACCAGGAAAATTAGTTAAAATTAGTTTATGTTTTTAAAATCACCTCATCTTTCCAAAAATACCCTTTAATTAAATATAATCAATTCTAACCCATCTTCCTCATTTCTCTAAATCCCTCCCTCTCTACCATAATTACTCAACATATCCATACCAAGAGAACTATTGGGGAAAAATATTAATTGCTTCATAGGTTTTACAAAATGACTTATAAATGAAAACATAAAAAGTTTTTAGAAAGTAACTTTTAAAAAAGAACAAAGGGAATAATGGCAAAGATGATAATTTCAATAACAATCACAAAATAAAAGGCAATGAGGTTTTTTGTTATAAAAAAAAATAACATGCTTTTGACTTGTTACAAGAAAACTTTTAATTGGTTAAGACTGAAGAGATTGGTAAACTCAAATTAAATGTATGCAGTAAAGGAATTCAGGAACTATATGTATTATTCATCATAATTAAGTGTTTATAAACAGTATGAATCAGGTAGCTTGAGTAACCATAACACTCTATCGGCCTAACTTACTCAACAGTCTAACTTCCTTTACATGCCCCCTAAAACAAGGAATAATCTGATCCTCAACACTCCCCCCCAAGTTGATTGTATGTGCCTAACTTGTTACAAATGTATTTATTTGACGGCCCGGAAAGCTTTAGTTCATATGTTTACTAGTTGATCATAAGGGAAGCGGTCTGATAAGACCCCATTACCTTACACTGTCAAATCTCACAAAAGGAGACATAAAAAGAATGTCAAAAGGGCAGAAAAGATGGGACTATTGGTTTAGAAGAAAATATAATAGGAAACGACTAGATGAGATAGAAAAGTAAGGGATTAAAGCTAGATAATGTTGGTAGGAGTAATGCCTACTTATTGGCAATATGATTTATTTTTCAGTCCCAATTTGTAATTAAACATAAAATAAATCATAGGGTTAAAGCACAAATATGACCTCAAAGTTTCTCTGGATATGCAATTGGTATCCTAAAATATTTAAAGATGCAATGTCGCCCAGACATTATTAAAACCATTAAAATTTTGCCCTATCCTAATACACCTTAACGTTTGACTATCAATTGACTTTGTTGTGCTTGGGTGGCATGCCATGTGGCATCCACCTCAATTTTTCATTTAAAACCATCTTAATTCACATGCTCAACCTTTGTCACTTCTAGGAGGCAGTGAAGCACCATTGAGAGGTCAACATCAATGGCTTTTAAAATCGCAATTAAACAGGGAAGAAATAGAAAATACATTCTTGGATCTATTTCAAACCACGGCACCAAGCAATCAAAAGAACATGCCAAACAAAAAACATATAAAATCCATTCTTGGATTTATTTCAAACCGTAGGTACCCTAGCAAATCCAAAGATGATGAGATCGAAAAACAAGGAAGAAAATGACAATGAAGGAAAACACAAAATCATGATATCGAACTGATTGCTGCTCAGAATTTTGAGATCAAACGAGCCCTCATGAACCTTGTGAACGAGAACATAGCTCCTCTACCTAAGCCTTGTGAAGGAGCCCTCATGTGTTCCCTTACAAAACCCATAAAAATTAGCACCTCCAAAGAAAATCATGCGCAGGCACACCTAAGCAGTGAAACAAATAATCAAACAAGCTAAAAGGAAAACCTGGTCAGCCCCAGACTCTGTCACAATTGCATGGATCTTCCAAGCTTGCTCAAAGAGAGCCGACAACAGAAGGTCCTCCATAATGCATTCACCCATCACCAAATCAATCGAAGAGAGAGAAACACTATATAGAAAAATAGGCTAGCCCATTTATCTAGCAAGCTAGTCCGTAGTTCGTTTGCCCAACTCTATAGAAAAGTAGGGGAGCATAGCTAGATAGTGTTAGTAGGGGCAATGACTACTTTTTGGCTCTTTAAATCTATATTTTCATGCACAAGGAGGGTGTGGAGTCTTTTGGAAGTTGAGAGTATTAAGGAGAGTTCTAGTCTCTTAAATGCCAAGTTGGGATGGAGGAAGATCAACTTACTTCATCATTTTATCCATATGTTTTACTGTGTGTTAGCAAGTGGTTTATGTTTTGTGCTGCTGTTTATGGGTGAATGAGGGAGATGGGGTTAGCTTGAATCATTGTCTTCCTTATATTCCAATTTCATCATTCAGCAATAGTATTTTCAATCTCCATTTGTATTGTATTTTCTAGTTTTTGCTTATTTAAAGCTTATTAGAATATAGGGTTCTATCACCGTCAAAGAAGGCTATTCTAACAGTGAGAATGTCTCAACTTTTTGAAATTAAGACAAAATTAAGGCATATGAAGCAAGGGACCCAAAGCTTGAATGACCACTATCTTACATTAAAAAAAAAAAAAAAGTGGCTCTTTGGCAAGAATTAGATCTCAACAGTGAAGAGGATTGGCGCTGCTCTAATAATGCTACACAATTTTGAATTCAAATTGATAAAGAAGGCTGTTTGAGTTCATAGTAGGCCTTAATAAAGAGCTTGATGCTATCCAAGGGCGAATCCTGAGTTGTGTACCTTTGCCTTCTATGCATGAACCTTTTGCAGAAGTTAGGAGAGAAAGAATCTCAATAGCGAGTGATGTTGCAAGACGAGAGAAACACTCAAACCCTTACTTCTGAGCCATATGCTCTGGTCTCTTGATGATCCAAGTCAAAGAACTCCAAAGGCATACCTGTTTGCGGTGACTGCAAGAAAAAAGGCCATATGAAAGACAGTTGTTAGGACCTTCATGGTATGCCCCCTAATTGGAAACTGAAGAAAGACAAGGGAGGTAGTCGACTAGTCGTGGTTATCATGCCACTACAAGTGATGACAAGGCTGAAGACTCTTCTTCTCAGTCACATACTAAAAACGATCACCTTGAAAAATTTTTGGAGTTACTGACTGCCAAACAGCCCCAATGAAAGCAACCCGTGGATACAACTGTACACAAAGGTATATTTTCTCGAGCCTTATCTACTACAAAAGGTTCATGGCCTAGTAACTACTAAATTGTCATCAAAGAGAAATTGAAAGGGGATGACATGAAGAAAGGTAGAAGAAGTAGAATCGAAGAGAGAGAGAAGATAGAATTTGAGAAGGAAAGGAAGAGAATTCAGAAAAAGAAGGAAGGAACAGAGAGAAAATCGGGAGAGAATCGGGAGGTTTCTGAATGATGTACTTTTTATGATATCAGCCTAATTACAATTAAGAGAAACCTAGTATTTATGGGGTTTACGTGTAGAATAGTCAAACAGAACAACAAATGACCTAACTGCCCTTTAATAGCTACCACTACCTAGATAACACATGGTTTTTTATTATTTTACATATCAGGGGACTTGTATGTCTCATTTATGGGCCAAGCAGAGAACAAAAAGCAGATATTCTCACAAAGGGGCTGCCCAAGGAAAAATTTGAAGACTTTGTGGGCAAGTTGGATCATAAATATCTATGATCCAACTTGAGAGAGAGTGTGGAAATCCTAGTAATTAATATAAGAATATCTGATTTCATCATGCTGTAAATACCCAATATTAGGGAGTTATTTTAGGATCTAGATTATTCTCATTTATTTCATGATTAGTGGGCACACAATTTACTGCCCTTGTTGCATATATTCTGTACGTATTTCTCATTCTGAAATAAGAGAAACTATTTTACCTCCACTGCAGCACAAGTCACTAGAGGAAGAGGAAATGACATCATACGAGCCATCATCTGAGACACTCGCACCACACAAATAGGGACAAGGCTTTATGGGAAATGCCAATCAAACAATTTTGAGACTCCCCAAGTAGGAGGTGACACCAATAAGGCAACTTCAAAATAAACCCTCACAGTGATTCTGATGGTAAGGAAAAAAGGATGAAGCTAAGAGATGATACAGAACCTAGGGCTTTAATACCATGAGAAGAGAAATTATTCAAATGCCTGATTTTATTCATTCCGACAACAGCTATATATACAAGAAGGATTCTCAATCACAATGTAATGAGACCCAAACCAGTATCACAACAAACAGAAACTAAAAGACAGAAACAGCAATAAATGAGGGGAAAATATTGAGGTTTTTGATATTAATAGTTTGAGAGAAACCGAATCAGAGTTACAAAACTTCCTTTGATTCTGGCCAAAAACCTATCTTCCCTGAAAGATCATAAAAGTAACAGCATTACAAGTTGTACACCTCACAAAAGAGGGTCCACTCCTTCCGGCATTCAAGAGGCCAATCTCTCCTCACAAATCCCTCACTAAAGACATCTCTCCCCCCCATACCAGCAAAAGACTTCTAATAGTTACAGCATGGCTTCCCCTCAGCCCATACCGCCCAAAAAGATACTAATCATAACACAAGATCATAAGTCACTGTTCCTTACAGCTAGGATCTGAAGGATAAACATCTGGACCAGTCAAAGTGTTTCCACTTGAGTCATTCACCTTCTTTGTCTTCCTCATATAAGTCTAAGGAAAATAACAGTTCTATCACAATGGCTTATAAATATGCATTAATCCTATCAACCTATGATTATACTATCACTATGCTGAGATTATAATATTTACACAATAAATGAAATAATATCATCTACAATCTTCTACTCTAACAGAAGACATGTGGGGTACAATGTGTTGTTTCTCTACACCTTTTTCCCAAACAAAGTGAATATGTAACACAACATGCTTGGTCATCGCATGCAAAATAGGATTGGCAATCAATAGTACTTCACTTTGATTGTCACAGTAGACCACAGGACGTTGTGTGTGAGAAAGACCAAGTTCTGACATTAAGGACCATACCCAAGCAATTTCTGCTACGACATGGGCAAGACTCCAGCATTCAACTTTCATAGCAGACCTAGAAACCACTACCTGTTTCTTAGAGTACCACGCCATAGTATTGGCACCAAAAAATACACATCCACCTGAAGTAGAACTTCTGTCATCAATACCACAGCCCCAATCAGACAGCATCACTAAATGCAGTAATTCTTGAGTCAGGTGACTTCGTGATGCAAAGATCATAATTTATCGTAACAGCTACATAGCCAAGTGTTCTCTCGATGGCAGACCATAACACTCTAATGGCCTAACTTACTCAACTATCTAACTACCCTTACATGTAGTTTTAGATGCTTTGATGCTAAAAATTAGAAAAATCGACAAAGGAAAAGCCTTATAGAGATAGATTGCCACAGAAAGAGAAGGGGCCATGTGCTACTAACAGGTCATAGACTTATAGCAATTACAAAGTTTCTGTGTTTTTCATTTTTGTATTTTCCTTTGCTGTAGTTATTCACTCCTTCTCAGATGATTTTTTTTTTTTTTGGGGCAAGAAATGACCATAAACATACTAGTGTAAACCATCTAACTCTAGAGTTCTCTCATTTTCCTTCTCTTAAATATACTCTCACATAATCCAATGAGCAAATAACGGCACTGGGTCAAGTTATTTTTCTAAGTGAAACTCAGTCTACAAAAACCTGTTCATTTTGTTGGGCCCATGGTCCTAGAGGGTTTTCTTTGATTGCTATACATTGAACTCTTCTTGTTTCCAAGATTAAATTATTAATTACTACCCATATCACGTACTCCACTGTACTATTAAACTTCTTGTAAAAAAATAACTAGCGTCACATTTTCCGCATTCTGCCTCCTAAAGTTAGTTTAAAACATGACTAAGCGCTGCATGATTGAAACTTGAAAGAAGTTCATATTCTAAAATGAAGTTAAACCTACTTTAGAGAGTAAACAACATTATATGACATCTATTACTACTTCAACAGTTCAGAGAGAGAGAGAGAGAGAGAGTTACTTGCACGATAAGGATTTAGGGTCCTTAATTGAATGGATTGATATGACTTCAAATTGCAGTACATGTGAACCCAAGTCACCACACTAAAAGAAGCAAGAACTAGAGGTGTGGAGGAGCCTATGCAGTTACCCAATATTATACCCAGCATGATACCAAAAAACTTGCTAACCATTCCTTGGACTTCACCTTTCGCAATTACCTACAGTATTAAATATATTCATGAGGGAAATATATAAGCAATACCAAGTCTTGCAAATTCTCAGACAAGCCAAACTACTTTAAGTTCTAAATACTAGAAAGAAATATTCTATTGGGGAAAAAATCGGAGTTACTAATGGAGTGAATACTGAAATCAATCACATACTCCTTAAAATGTTAAAAGTGTATGGGAACTTTATTCACCTCTGCAAAGTTCCTTTGAGCAGCAAAGCCAGCATAGAAACAGCTCCTCGTAGAAGCCTACAAAGATAAAATCATTTTGAAAATTCAGTTGGCATGCTTTGCTTAAATTGCTCATATTCTGAAGTTTCAAGACAAATAAGTGAAACGTAAATAAAAAATTCATCTGGTGATGCCAAACATACTATTCTCATACATGTATTCACTGCTCAACTTAATCAAAGATGAAGGCCTGTAGAGTAAACTAACCATCTTGTCAATTTATCTTGACACACTATTAGTAGGAGTCAATTAATAATACTAATAAAGAGGAAACTTCAAATTATGGGTTCAACGTCACTTCTAACCCGATTTTCGAACAAATATACGGCATAAACGTCCATACAGACCAAACTAATAAAACTTAGAAGCATCATTTTTTACGGTCTGAAATATATTAAAGACAAAGATAGATGCACATGAAATGAAGTGGTTTTTTTTATTATTCGGAAACAGATTAAAAAAATCAGAAAATTGGCAATAAAATTCAAGAGCATAGTTTTCCCCCCTTTTTTTCCTTTGCCAATAATAAATTCAAGAGTTGAGTTTGCTTCACAAGATAGTCATATTAGATGCAGCACTCGCCTGGATTAGCGCCGCTGCAGAACGCGATGCACCAGCTACAGCACCAATTGGTACAAAAAGATGAGGAAATGCAGGAGTCAACATCTCCAAACCAAAGGCAGCATTTTCAAGAACATCAGAAAACAATCTCCACCCTTTTGGGTTGACGTCGAAATGGCGACCGAAATTCGACAACATGATTTTGCTGAGGTACCCAATTCCATCCTTTAAAACCCAGTTAATGGCAGCTGCAGTTGGAATTGCTCCTTTTCCTAATCCAACAGCATAGAGCAACGATTGCGTTGCCAGAACTCCACTGATTTGGCTAGCAACTCCTTGAACTCCCCTCCATAAGGAGTACTCCAAGTAATCACTTGTGACGCTGTTTGGAAAGCCTTCGGGGAGCATCAAACGCTTGAAGAGGTCTCTGAACTGAAATAACAAAAAATTTGGAATTTTTAAAGTTTCCAGTGATGATAACTCCATTAACAAGCTTGGTTGTGCCAAAACAAAAGCGTCATTGATATGATTCGGGATAAGCCTAGTCCTCTTGCCTCCCTTCACTTCCCAGACGGAACCGGGCCGAGCTTCGTTCTCAGAGTCTGTTCTTGTGGAAGACGCCACTTTAGTTTTGGCCATTGCGAATTTCGCAAACAGGAATTGGCAGAAGCAACGGCAAGTCGAGCATAAGAGTAAAGAAAAGAAAAGGGCATAAAAAGGCCCTGAAGATGAATCTTCAGGGTCAAAAGGATAACCCCATTCACCGCCATTATTGTGATCATTGTTATTGCCGCCACCGCCGTCGTCACTGCCGCCACTGTCTAACAAGAGAGAGAGTGAGAGAAAGCGAAAAGGATGCAATGGAAAAGTTTTAAGAGGAGTATCAATCTTTTTGGACAGGAGGGCTTGAACATTGGCGAGGGTCAGTGGCGATGCCTGCTGATGAAGCTGAAACAGACGCCATGGAGAAGAACGAGCATTGGTGAAATAGAGAGAAGAGAAGCGCGGGGAAAGGGCCAGGGGCATGGAAGTGTAGGTCATGTTCCTTGCCCTCTAGCCAAAGCCACCCGCTTCCGCTGGGGCGGGGGTTACCGACTTACGGTGGAGTCCGTTGCCTGAGCCAGAGAAAGTCAAAATTCGGTAAACGTCTAAAGGATGAGTATGTATGTATATGTATATCAGTACTCAATTAACTTTGACACCGGCGGCGGCGGCGGCGGCAAACAAGTGAAATTTGCCACCACGACCACCCCACCCACGGAAAGAGGGAGATTGGGGGAAGGACATGTTCAGATGCACAATTGAGGATGAATCAACTTGTAAGTGTAAATTTTAATTTAGGCATCAAAAAAGAAACTAGAATTTTCGGTTTATTTATTGTTAAAATCTACGACGAGGTTGCACCCGTCCTGTATGGGTTTTATCCTTGCCGACAACAGGAAGTCAACTTATCTTGTTACTTGGAGGGGTCTCCGGTACTACGCTCCTTTGGTTTGCTTCTGGGGTAACCAAGAGCAAGGGATCATCATAAGACTTTCCTGTTGGTTTTTATGATCAATCAACATCCGTCGACGATAAGACTTTGGACATCAAAGTCGGAAAATAGTCTCCAGACGAGTGATTTCCTAAAATTATGTCTTTTTTCCCACCACCTCTCTGCTTATAATTTTTCACTTGCAGGCCCTCGACGAGCGGTGGATAGCATTTGGAAGATTTTGTGGCAGTGGCCAATTACGGAGGAAATCAAATAATTTATATGACTATTCACACATGAAAGAGCGTTCACAACGTACAGGATTTGTAGTGAACCATACTTGCCCATATGGCTATAAGACGATCGAAGACCCCACGCATCTAATTAGAGATTGCCAAAGTGCCCTTGATTGTTGGAAAACAATAGTCAATAAGGAACAATGGTACACCTTTACAAGTCTCCATAATGCTGGGTGGGTGAAATGGAATTTCACAAATAAAATAGATAAAAACTACGCAAAGGAAAATAGCCTAGGCTATTTTATTTGGGTACATAAATTGGGATATCTAGGTCTCTAAATGTAGATAGGATTTTTATATTAATGCTAAAGAGGGGAAGCCTAGCATGTTGTGTAGCTTCTTCGTGCTTGTAGTGATTCTGATTTGGTTAAAAAAGCTTCCTTGCTAGCATATGAAAGAAACGTTAGTCGAGAGAAATTTTCTATGAATGAGTGGCATGTCAAACTAAAGGTTGAAAGGTTTGTTAATACCAAAGGTAATTTTAAGTGTAGTGGTGTTATCTAGAGTGATAATCTGTTGTTGTTCCCCTGGATATAGTGAAAATTCTTGCTATTTTCAAGAAATTAATCTATGTTGGGAGTGTGGCTTAAGGAAAGTTCAAATCTTCGTGGACCTTGATGGAGCTATTAATTTGATAACTCGAAGCTAAAGCACACAAACCACTTAAAGTGTTATAATTGCTCAACCCACACCATCCCGATACAAAACCAATAATCCTAGGCGATATGCTTACATTTGCCATCCGTGAGGGGCAATAGACATAAATACACTATAATCAAGTATACCAACTACCATGCACAAATTTCAATGGAAGCTACATCAAGTGTATTTTATAACACCCTTACTCCAAAAGTTGGTCGAAGGTGCTGTCACATCATGACAACAATAATGCGCTGCAGAGCAATGCACAACGAGAAGGCTTCCCTCTCTATGCCATCCGACTCGGCGGATGGTACAATTTGGGATCTGTACAAATTATCCTCTTTTGATCATTATATGGATTAATTTATGTTCCAATGGTTCCGTTACTTCCTTAAGCTTATTTTAAACTAGCTTGAGCTCAAACATCATTTTAAAAAAGGGTTTTTTGCGATCTCAACTTTTAAATTTACTTTTCTTAAACTTTTATCTTATGATAACCTAATATATGAAATTATCTTAATTCTGATTGTTATAACAATGTTGTGTACCTTGTTCTGGTAATATCAAAGCAAACATTATAGTAACCAAATAATCTAGTCCTTTTACTTATGTATTTAAATGGTTATGGGTTTTATGAAAGTGTGTGTATATATATATATTTATAATTTATTATGAAAACTAGTATTAATGTTTGATGTTTTGAAAATTTGTGAAGTGATATTAAACTATAGTTAAAACCTATTTATACTTGTTGGTTGATAAATATAAATCGGATACACGATTGAAATGTTAGAGATTGTGGTATATTTATCCCTAATGAGTTCAATAAGTATGACTGATATTAGATGAACATGATTTTTATGAGTCGATAAGAGTTCGCCCTAGTGTAATAGGGATATATTGTGTGAAATCCATATGGTACACTGACATCATGAAAGCCCTTATGCTCATTTTTCTTTTGTTTGAAAGTCTTAGTACTATCTTAGTGATCAATTGGGCATAAGACATCCTGTATGTATTAAGAAAGGGAGAATTTGTGGTCCAAAATGGGCGAAAGCATCCTTGGCTAAGGCTGATTCTTATGATTGGTGAGTTTGAGTTAGTCCAGTTACATTGACTTGGTCCTATTATGTTGATAGCCTATAAATTCAATCGATGAAAATAAGGAGGATATAAGGCAATGAGTATTGATCATGCATTATAGGAATGAGATTTGATAGTCATGTGTGTTATATATCTATTAAATGGTTTTTATACTACCACTTTACTCACTCATATGCTTTTTAAGTAACTTGTGAATAGATTAGATTATTTAATTACCGAAACATTGTCTCGTCCCATGGTTATATTTTACAGGTAATGGTTTTGATAAAGGCAAAGAGAAGGAAAAAATTAGCTATAAATCATGCCAACTTAAGACAATGCATTGTTTCAAGTCACTTGCATGATAATATGTTATTTGAGAGTATTTTGGCCTAGGATATTATAGTTGTAATGAAAGTGTTATTACAAGTTGAAATGTTGATGCAAGTGCTGTTAATGTGGTTATTAAATGTATGTGGATGGCTATGGTATGTTTGGGTTGACTTATGCCTAAGCCTTTGATTCTTGTGGAATTTGGGTTTTGTTGGTCAAAATTATATTGTGATGTACATGTTGATATATGATAGTTTTATTAGGTGTATCGTGGTTTATTTAAGTTTGTTCAAGTGGTCTCAAGTCTATTAACATTTAGTTTGAGAGTTTGGATTCCCCTGGTCAAGTTTTGAAAGGAAAAATGGTATTTTTGTATTTGAATGTCTAACTTTTAAATGGTAAAGAATTTTGTTATGAAATTAGTGCCAATATCTAGATGGTTCAAAAAATTACGTGTGGACTTTTGAATCGCTTGATTCGAACATCAAATAGTGAAATGACGTACTCTAAAAATTAATCTAAAAGTGCTGTCATGGCAGCAGTAATGCAGCTCAGCACAAAGCGTGCTCGCCATGGTGCATTGTATAACAAGGAAGTATCCTCCTCTGTGCCATCCGTTGCAGAAGATGACACATGAATTATGGAGGATGAAGCTTTTTGAACTATGTCCAATTTGCCTGTTTTTGGAATTTTTATGCGTTGATTTCTACTTTTATATTTTCGTTACTTCTTTATAAGTATTTTAAACTATCATTTAAACTTAAACATCTTTTTGAAAAGGGTTTCTTAGGATTTCAAATTTTTAAACTTGATTTCTAAACCCTTGACATTATGGTAATCTAATATAAGGACTTATTTAACCCTAATTACCTTAATAGCAGTTGTGTGGTTTGTTTTGATAGTGTCAAGGTGAACATTTCATTATAAGTTTTAAAATCATGTGTTATCTTATTTGTGGTTTTTACGAGTGTATGCCATGGCAGAGCATCTTGTTGGCCATGGCAGATTGCTTTATATGAGTTGGTCATGGCAAAATTAGTTGTTAGCCATAACAAGTGGCCTCTATGCCGTAAGCTATGATAGATGTGCATTTGGTTGTGACAAATGCACTCAAAATACTTGAAAATGCTTGTTTTATTTTTGTTTGACTTGTTTTAAAATGCTCCACACTTATCCCATTTTTCCACAATCTTTCTACGTTGATTTTAGGCATTTTCAAGTGTGTATATTTTATTGCTTATTTCCAAATAATTTTTGAGATCCCATTGTTCTTAATACTTTCAAAGGTAATAGTTAAAATAACCTTGACCAAGGTTGATTAGTTTAATTATTTTGAATTTATGTAATTTGCCAACTTTAGGTTGCATGTGTTAAAAGGATTATGTATCATTTGCATGCTAGATTGCTAGTCCTATTTCTTGACTTGCGCATTTTTGTGTGGGGCCTCTATGTTTTTGAGAGAAGGTCCATTGTGTAAATGTGTTGATGATGAATGACTTTACTTTTAGTTATGTATATGCAATGCTATACTATGTTTGTATGTGTTTGGATTCCTAGTTTGGATGAGATGTGGATGAGGGCTTAGAAGAGAGGCACTTGTTATGATGCTTGAAGTATGAAAGTTTGTCTGGCATCTAGTGTTCCAAGATCTTCATTTGTTACCGGAGTGAGATGAAATCAAGGCCATTAGATAGTTTAATAAATTATTTGCATGTGGATGCTTTGATCTTCTTAATTGAAAGTCTGAGCAGTTAGAAACTTAAATTTTCTACCACCCGATTTGTTCTAATTAAGGGTATGCGCCACGATAGATGTGGCCATTAGCTATGGTGAAGTAATCTCCATACCACCTACTGAAATGGATGAACACTTAGCTATTGAGGATTTGTTAATTGTGGTACACTATGGAGGATGGAGTTGTTGGTTGCAATGAGTGGCCTTTGTGTCACATGTTGTAATGAAATGTTGTTCAGTAATGACAAACATGCATATTTTGTTGTATTTACCTATTTTACTCCTGTTTGAACTAGCTTTAAATGTTCAAACAATTTCTATGTTTTCCATTCTTCTTTACTCTAATTTTAAGTGATTTTAAGTGTTATTGTCTCATAATCTATTTTTTAAAAATGATTTGGGATCCTATTATTTTTAAATGCTTTCAAGGGCTTAGAATTATAGCCAAGGTTGATCCATATTTGTATTAATCATTTTAGTTGAGTTTAGAGTTGGTTAATGACAAAAGTCATTACAATTTACAACTCCAATTTAATAAATGATTAAAGTGGTTTAGGCATTTGTAATTTTCATTCAATCAGCAAAGTGCAACAAATTTTTTTCTCACAATTTTGGTTCTGAAATTTACAAGTCTAGTTTAACAATTAACTAAAGTGATTTAGGAATTCACAACTTTTTATCAACATTTTTTTACTTTTTTTGAATGAAGAGGTATTTTTGTCATTTTTATCAAAAATTATAATGACATTTAGATCCCTTAAAACTTAGAAGGTATTATCACATTTCACGAGATCAAATTATCATTTTCTCATTTTAAATAGATTTATTTGTTAAAAAAAATAAATAGAAGAATAGATGCACAATGTTTATGGAACCAAATCAAAGTCTATTAATCGACCGACCGATGGAATCCTAATTTAGTTCACATATTTTAGGAGAAATATTTAGATAGACAAAGTGCACCACATTATTTTTGGTTCGTCTAATAAAAATTTAACATTTAAATTGAGTTAAATATAAATTAATTTTGATATTAATGATAATAGGGTGGGAAATGGAAAAAAATTAAATTTACATTCTGTTATAAAAGTAAAAACAATTAAAAAAATATCATACAATATTTTATAAATAACATAACATATTAAGGTTTGAATGTCCCAAATCTTAATTGAGATATTAAAAGTCTATTGTAAAGTCAAAATTCTTGTCTGAATTTAAAATTATTGAAATGTATTTTTTTGGATAAAAGTTCGTTTTAACTTAAACTGATCTTTTAAACTTCTCAACAAACATTAAAAGATGTTGGCGTGAGGAGCTGATTTAATAGGGGAAATGATGGCGTGATATTATTGAGAAGAATAATAGGAAGGGGAGGCAATTTATATTTCGTGCCCTACCACTCTTCATATTATCTTTCTTTCTTTCTTTTTATTTAATCTCTCTTGTTTTTTTACTTTATTTTGTTTCTTCACTTGTGAATGCATGATTCTTCATTTGTTTTTTTTTAATTTAAGATTTTTTTACTTGCCAATTTACTTTAGATTTTTTATTCTACCTTTTTTTAAAAAAAATAAAATTTAAAGTTTAATAATTTTTGTTTAAAAATATTAAATTAGTCACATAAATATATACAACAAAGTTCATATCTTTTTTATCATTATATATTTTTACTAATTTTTGAATTAGATTATTTAAATAAATTTTAATTTATCCATCCAACTATTTTAAAAAATATTTAAATATAAATCATATTTCATTTACATATTTTTTTTAAATTTTTATTTATTAATCTCAGTTACATTTTAACTTGTGAACTAATTTTTTAATTCAAACACACGATAAGTATTTATCGCATTTCGGTTCCGGTTCTGGTCCGGTCCGGTTCGATCTACGCGAAAAGTTCACTGCTATTCTCGAGGCTACATATAAGCAAAGTTGGGATCGGACAGACCAATAAATTAACTAACTTCGAATCTACGCGATAAGTTCACTGCTTCCACATCGGACAACCCGGGTTGGAATTGATTTGTTGGGTCGTTTGAATAAAATACTGGCGGCGCCGCTGGCACCGTTTCGTTTGTAGAGGTGAAATGGGACGGACAATGGAGTGGGCGGCGAGTGCGGAGCACTTGGGAGGGTTCCCTAGAAGAATGGTGTTCACTGCGGTGGGGACCTTCGCCAAGTTGGTGGCTTCTCTATTCAACTCCTCCTGCGTTCACAATGCTGACACCCTCATTCGTCTTGTCCGATCAAGACCTCCCGGCGTGCCCCTTATCACTGTCAGCAATCACATGTCTACGTTAGTCGTGATCTCTGATGTTTTATTGAGTTTGCAGAGGCCATTCTTTCATTTAATTAATTAATTTCTCTTACTGTTTTGCTACTTATACAGGTTGGATGATCCGCTTATGTGGGGATTCAAAGGGTTTCCAACCTTTGATGCTAATCTCGGTCGATGGGTATTGGCTGCCGAAGATATTTGTTTTAGGAATGCGTTTTATTCTTACATTTGCAGGCTCGGTAAGTTCAACTAAGGTGGAATTCTTCTACCTCTGATAAATCAAACCTTTATGTTTAGAATTTATCAGAACTTTTAGGTTGAACAAATGAGATGAGTGATCGAAGGGCGATTCATCTTGAGATGAGCTGGGAGTAGATATTATGTTTCTAAGCTGAATATGTAGTGATATGCTCCATGGGTATGTTTGAAACTCAAGCGTCCGTGTATATCGCCTAAAAAATAGTAATAGTTGTTTGAGATCGTTGGATTAGGTGGTCTCTTAACTCCTAAATTTGTAAAGGACTAGGATCCATATATGGGATGCCAAATTCTCCAGCTAAGTTGCATCATGGGATAAAGGAGTGAGGTATGGAATTTACATTTAGAGTCATTCCGCATGAGTTTTCTGACCAGTGATGTTAGATTTTTACTGTTCAACCTTAACACATGCACTTGGGTTATTCCTAATGTTTGGCTGGACTTGGTAATGTAAAGGGGAATATACCATGCAATCTTAATTTCCTTAAAATAGAGCTTCCCAATTACACAGCTGGACAACATGAATGGGGATTGTAGGATGAGGAAAAGACAATATTGCCCTTAAAAAAATCAGACGATTGATGCCTTTGCCATCTCCATTGCCACCCTCCTTTTGTTGTGCCATTTACCTGCCTTCAGATGACGGGCGGCAGAGATGTGAAGGAAAGAAGGGTGGGTGGCTGTGAGTGCGAGAGTGAAATTGGGTCTAGGAATTGGTTTCAGTGTGCTCAAAGGAAGAAGTCATAGTAACGACTGGAGAAGGGGCAAGGAATCTTGCAAAGTGATTAATCTTTTAGAACGATGGAAGAAGCTGGTGGTAAGGACTGGAGAAGTGGGAAGGAATTTTGTGGGGAGGGTATTCGTGTCCTTTTATTTTTATGATAATTTAATAAAAGATTAATATTAAATTTGTTTCACATATCATTAAATATCATATCAAACAAATTCATGTAATCTTCATTACTTCACATTCCATTCTCAACCATTACATTCCATTATATCCCAAACAATTCAGTGAACCAATTAGGCTAATGGAGTTAACTTGATTTTGGATCCATCAAAAGAATCAAAGTTGGGGGAAATATCATTGGCTGAAGGTGATTGTATATATGGTGCCAACATTCTTTTGGTGAAAGTATTTGGCAGAAGAGAGTCACGATAATCCCTTGATGGTGTGGTGATTCCGATGAAATCTTCATTATCTTGTCTATGATCTACTTCCTCTGTGTTTTTATTATTGGAGAAACTGTCATATGCTTCATTTTTTTTAATAAGCAAACCTACAAAATTCAGGAAGTAATTTCAGGCATGATTTTCAGTATTAACCAAGTTTTTTGAACTGTATGAGTTGATTAAAATTTACTTATATTTAAAAACAGAGGGATAGGACTTGTTGTTGTTGTTGTTAAAAACAGAAGGAATGTGTTTGAAATTCCACTTTATTTCATGAAGGCTCAAAGTTTGAAATAAGTGGGATGTTAGAATGTTAACATTTTATCCCTTCTATTTTGAGGTTTTAGGTGAAAGCTTATCAATCCGTGCAAACCAAGTTTTTTCTGAAAAGTTTTTCTATATTTTGGTAGTGTATGGATAAAGTATTGTTTCCGACAAGAGTTGGTGGAATTGACTATACAGGGAAGTGTATACCTATTACAAGGGGTGGTGGAATTTATCAGGAACACATGAATGAGGCTCTTGAGCGGCTGAATCATGGAGATTGGGTATTTATTTAATACCATGTATATCCATCCATCCATCTCTACACACACACACTTTTTATGAGCCTAATCCTTTCATGATAATCTTTTTGGTGCTTTCTCCTTTTACTATTTATTATTATGAATAGAAGAATTTCTGAGTCATGTCTTCCTGTGCATTATTCAGTTGCATGATGGATTGTTGTTGTAATTTGAATAATTGATGAGTCAATTTCATTTGCTTCTCTTTGATGATGACGTATGATGCCAAAAAATAATTCATGATTTAATCTCATTAGATATATGGTGTGCCTGAAAGAATCACGTAAAAGACAACTGATGGGGTGATAAAGGCTTTTGCTAGAAAGAGAAAGAAGAATAATTGATCCTATTTCTTATTTTGTTATTTTGATTTTATTTCCTATTTTAATTTAGGATTTCGTTAGAATAAATATAGTCTTGTATTTAAATTGATATTTGTTTAGATTATCTTTTATTAAGTAGGGTTAGTGCTAGGGTTTCATAAATATGCCCTAAAATTCTTCATTTGTATGACCCTTGCCATTGAATAATATTAAGAACTGAGTTATTGCATTTTTCTTCCCCCCCCCCCCCATCCCTTCCCTCTTTAATATGTAATAAGTCAATCTTACTAATTCTGATGCCTGATTTCGGAATGCATTGATAGCTGCATACGTTCCCAGAAGGAAAAGTGGTTCAAGATGATGCTCCTATAAGACGATTGAAATGGGGAACGGCTAGTCTAATTGTCCGTGCATCTTTATCTCCAATTGTATTGCCAATTGTTCATCATGGTTTTCAAAAGGTAACTCACCATTTTTATCCCCTTGTGATAGGCTTGTCCCGTGAACAAACAATATACTATATATTAATTTTGTGTGCTCTTCTAGGAAAAATAGTATTGAATCAGAAGGAAAAATATTGGCTCATTAGAACTCTCTACTCCCTCTATAAGTCTATTAGAGTAAAACCCTGCTAGAGAGCCATCGTGTGAAAACTTGAAGAGAGGCCAAGAAAACTTCACTATCCCAGTGAAGAGACAAAGAAAGAAATCTTTGGTTGGAAACTCTCTCATTTGATTCCCCCCATAAACACCAGAAGCCTGAGAAAATAGTGTATAAGTCTATTAGAGTAAAACCCTGCTAGAGAGCCATCGTGTGAAAACTTGAAGAGAGGCCAAGAAAACTTCACTATCCCAGTGAAGAGACAAAGAAAGAAATCTCTGGTTGGAAACTCTCTCATTTGATTCCCTCCATAAACACCAGAAGCCTGAGAAAATAGTGAACCCAAAGGATCTTTGTGTTATAATATTCACTGTCAAGAGATTGGCTTTTTGTCATCCACCGGTGGATCCAAGCGGGGTACTTGTCCCCCACGATTTTCACTCTTCTCCATAAATATGGATGGTTTTCTTTGTAAAAAATGGTAATGTAAGCTTTTAGCCCCCCCACTCTTCAATCTCTAGATCCGCCTCTGCTGTCATCACAGGTGTACAACCCTGATGTTGTCCACAATTTATGTTGTGGTGTTCAGTAATTTCTTTACCAACTCTTGGTTAGTTTTTTATGATAATTGAATAACTGCTATGAATATGATTGCTCATATCTTTATAGCCGTAGCGTATTTATAATGAAATTAATCTGAGTTGATTACTATATACTGTATTTTTATTTTGGTTATTCACGGGTGATGCTATCTATATTCTTAGGTAATGCCAGAGAAATATATGTTTAGTAGACGGCCTCCTTTACCATTATGTAATAAGAGAATTGACATAATTATTGGTGAGCCAATTGAATTTGACCTTCCAAAAATGAAGCAGATGGCTATTTCTCAGACTCGAAAGGAGCCATTTCATCTCAATGGATGGCCTTGCACTTCTCCTGATGGTTTGGATGAAGCAGCACAGAGATGTCTATACACTACAATTTCTGAGCAAATCCGAACATCCGTGGAAAGATTAAGGATTTTCAGAAAAAGTATCCTTAGGTTGTAGATGTAGTTATATCTGAAGCTGGCCTTTTTTGTTTTTTTAATACATGAAGCTGGTTTTAATTTCTCTTAAGTGGTTAGCGAGTTAATTTGTCAACGTTATTTGCCTTCAATTATTTGCCAGAGAAACCCCTAAGATGGAGCACTGTTGAAAACTGAACAGAGAGCCCCAACTTGGTTCCTAAATCTGTAAATCATGTGCCATCAGGTAGGGGCCTTTATGCATGGCGCATAATCAGATGGATTAAATAATATTATTTTTCTGAAATCTCATTGTTCAAAATAACTTAGAAAGTTCATTTTTGGCTCATAACGCATTTAAGTCAGGGAACTTTAAAAAAAAAATTGTACATGTTCTGTCTATATTATGCATTCTGCAACTCCCGATTCTCCCGCTATTTATCTTGGTAAGCTTAGCTGCATCTATATCACGGGGTATAATATAAGGAAATTCATTAGGGTTCTTTGCTGTACGTTCAATAATAATATCTCAAAGAGGCTTTTAAAGAATCAATAATGTGAAGTTGAGTCTTACTATATTTTCGTTAGAAATCAAAAAACGCAAGTCATGTGAGTCTTTGTCCATACCATACGCCTGCTGTCGTCAAGCTATCTGATACGATAGAGGGCAAGGTGGACATGTACACTCAACTAGCTTTTTGAAGCCATAACTTAGGTTTTAGGCCAGCAAATGGTAGATCAAACATGCACAAAAAAGGTGAGTTGGTTTGGTAAGGATTGGGGTGGCTAAGGTTTCTTTTTTTTAAAAAAAAAAAAAGGGGGCCATCAGATGCTATCAGAGGATATGAAATCCATATGTATTTGGTAATTTGGTTCAATAATGGAAATGTTTTTATTAATAGGAATAGAAATAAAACGAGAAATTTTCATGTTGTATCATGTCACTTGTACACTTTCTGATAAAAACATGGGAATGCATCATTTATCTTGCGTGTTTATGACATCCTTTCGCTCATTTGAGCGTGATGAGATGAGAGAAATTGAAAGGAGAAAAAAAAAAGGAAGAAAAAACTATTATAATGATAGAATAAAAAAATTGAGAGCTTTTCATTTTAAGGTGACAAGTACAATTAAGGCGTCTTTTATTTATAAGTACAAATATATGAATTAAATTAAATAAAATATATAAAATAATAATAAATAAAAGATATTATAGCCACTGAAAGATATTGGATAATTTAAAAGACATGATAAGATAATAGATACTCCTTCTATTAAAAAAGGTAAAACATTTTTTGAGGAGTTAGATATTAAAAAATATAAAATATTTTTAACATTTTAAGGTGTAATCATTGCTTTTTTTTTTCAAAAGCGCCACTGTCAATAATGTTTTTATATTTATTGTAAGGTGTTTAATAGGAGTGAATATGACAAGATAAGGTTAATTTAAAAATAAATAACTACTTTATTAAAGAGTGAGATTTAGTTAAAATTTTTTTACACTTTTGAACAGAGGGAGTATTTACATAATATCCTAATATACATAACACTCTCCCTTTGGATGTCCAAATATTATGCCTAATTAAAACCTTGCTAAAAAAACTCACTAGGACACAAATTTAGTAAACGAAAAAGAGTATACAATATCTTCATATTTATAAAAGTTGCCTCATTAAAAATTTTATCAAAAAAATCTAGTACAACAACATTTTTTAGTTAAGGAAAAAATATAGCATAACTTTTACTCTTTCTCTGATGATGATATTACCAACTGTTCTTGAGTCATTGTGTCATAAACTTGTGTATTAATTCTTGAATATTGTTGTCTATGCCTTTGCTTTTGTGAGATGATATTCTCTTACTACTAGACTAATGTATAAATCATTGCTTTCATATAATATTTTGAAACATCTCTTTACATATCTTCTAAATATAACACATTTTCCACTTATCGTATATTTCATGGGAGTAACAAAACAATTTGACATACATGCATGCTCATAAATAAATAATCTCTTAAAAATCAACTTGTGGTTCAAACTACATGTGTATAACACATATGTATAATTAATTAATTTTGTTCCTAAATAAGTTTAATAAACCAACTATTATTATTTCTTAAACAGATTATATCAAATACATAATTTCATTGAAAATCAATGTAATATCATAAATTGTGAAATGAAAGCATTCATATATGGTGCTTCATGACCACCTTTCAAAGAAAAATGATCTCAATTCACATCTAATCACACAATATTTTAACATCTTTCTTTAATAATTAAGTTCTTATGTATACTCCTTAGAATATTCAATAGTGCTAAATCAATCAACTTTTGATTCAAATCAATGTGTATATAATCATGTGAATAAATATAATGACAAATAAAATTTTTTGGGAATCTTTATAAGTTGCTCTCATCTTAAATTCTCTTGGAGTTTTCAAGTAAATACCAATGTACAAGAAGCCATATAAATGAGTTAGCATTTATTAGAGGTGCACCAGATTTTTATATTACTAGACTAATAACGTGTCAAAAAATCATTTTATCCACCACAAGATAATATATTAATGTATATTTTAAATTTTTATAATAAATTCTTATATTGAAAGTCAAATTTTCCATGTAACATTTAATATTTCTTTGTCTCATAAATACTCATGTATAATATCACACTTCATATGCTTGAACAATAATTCACAACTTTCATATTATGAACAAGTGATATAACTTTACTTGTATTGCGTCTTTTTTTTTTCAACATAACAAGCTTTTTATTCACATTCTATCAAGGTTTTCATTTGATTGTAATGTTTCATATTCATTGAAAATGTTGTCAAAAACTTAATTCTTTTTAATATTATCATTTTTCATAATGACATGATTTCTCAATATTTCTTTATTATTATCAAGTATCTGATTCACTTTTAGAGATTTAAAATTAGTTATGTTTTAACCTTTTATAAATTCTCAATACTTCCTCTTTCAATTCGGTAGCATTTTATTTTTTGGTTGCAGCACTTTTTCTAGCGAAGAGATGAGACTTTGAATTCTGCAGCACGTGGCAAGATGACAAGTCTTTGATTTCTGTACACCTGGACACACGGAAAGAAGCCACGCTCAGGATCCACATTTGTGCCCCACCCCAAATGTTGTGTGGGCAACGTGCTAACCATCATTAAACCGACGTGAGAATGCAGTTATACCAGTCACAAATAAAACTTTCTATTAGTTTAACAGTTTTATTCGTTTCATAGTGACTGTTGCGTTTAGAATTGTAATTAAATCACATACTCAATTAGAATTGTGTAAAAGTTTTTTTATTCAATACTCAATTTGACCTGGGAGTCCTATTTTACTTAGTCCGTTCTTCAAGTTGGACTAAATAAGAGATTGGGCATTTGAATCACTTGATCCAATTCAGTCCTATTAATTTATTTAATATAATTATAATTAATTTATTTTTGACAAATGTTTCAAATATAATTGATGTTAAAGAGATAATTGTATAAAAATTTATTAAATTTTTTTCTAAATTGTTGCTGTAATATAGTATTGTTAAATGTTGTTTTCATTAAAATTATAAATTTAAATTATTTGAATTATAACTTAAATATTTTTCTTGTTGTTCTAAATTATTATGAATTTATTATGATTATAAGTATTTTTATTATTTTAATTAAGTTTATTAGGTTGAAATGGATTATTTCTTCTCATAAAGGAAAAAGTAAAAAAAAGGTTAAGTGAGTAATAGATTAATAAGACCAATCTAACAATCTTATAAACCAAGTTTAGTTCTATTAATTTTCAAATTATCATTAAATAAGACTGAACTACAAATTGCATAACTCAATTTTTTTTATAAAAGAAACTAGACTTTGAATTAAGTCGAAATCCAGTGTTTTTTAATCCTTTGAGTGGAAGAAATATTTAAATAAATTAGGTACACTATGTCATTTTTAATTTATCCAATTAAGATGCTCTAAGTAATATAAATAAAATCTTATATGATATTTTTTAATTGATTTATTCTTATAATAGAATAAAAAATTATTTTCTTGCATTTTTTCTTTACAATTATTAATATTAAAATTAATTTATATTTAATACAATTTAAATGTTATTAAATTATAAGATACTTTTAAAAGAATTTTTTTTAAATATAAAAACTTTGACTAGTTTAATGTTTTATTCAATGCAATAATTTTAATATTATTTTTTTATAATTAATTTTTATTTTTTTATTATATTAAATGATTGATAATTTTAAAAATTTATATTTTTATTATAAAAAATATTATTAAATATATTTAATAATGTTTATTAATATATAAAATTTTCACCACACCAATTTACATCGTCCACGCGTCTGCATCTGCCATTCATATATTAACCAATCCTCGTCTCTCAGCTGGGATTGGGAGTTAACAGAAGGTGACAAACATGGTGGCGGGGCTTGAGAAACAACGGCGGCACTTGGATGGCGGTGGAGGAGAAGAGAAACTTTTCAGTGGAAGAGAGGAATTCGGTAAATCATCCAACACTTTTAAGCAGATTGTAGCCTTGGCAATTTGGTTGGGAGCTATTCATTTCGACGCTGCGTTGGTCCTCTTCGCGCTCTTATTCTTGCCTCTCTCCAAAGCACTCTTGTTCGTTTAACTCTCTTGCTCCTTTCTGTTTTTGCCTTTTTCTTTCACTTGATTTGTTGATTTCTTTCTTCGCATCTCAGGGTTTTTTGTTTGCTCTTCATATTTATGGTTCTTCCCTTGGATGAGAAAAGCAACTTTGGCCAAAAGTTGTCTAGGTACCTTTTTTATTTTTCTGTCAAGGAAAAAAATTACAATTATGATACACTTCCTCTTCTGATCCGTGTTAAGGTTACTTCGTTTTTGTCCTGTCTATATTTCAGGTACATATGCAAGCATGCTGCCAGTTATTTTCCGGTCACACTTCATGTAGAGGATATTAATGCCTTCGATCCTGATCGTGCTTATGGTTTGTTTGCTCAATTCAATTGAAAATTCTTTTCCACGTGTATATTTTGTTCAAAAAGAATTATACTTTTTTGCCATGCCGCGGACAATCTCTCCATATTGACAAGGAAAATTGTTTATAGTTGGTTTGCTTTAGTTAAAAAAAAGAAATTGTCATTGGAAAAGTGGGAGAATAAATAAGTCCTTGTTCAGGTGTTTTCAAGAAATGGATGAGGTTTTCTTTAATAGGTCGGGAGAGAGTTCCCACTTCATATGTGTGATTAGGGATAGCAATCCTCTTCCCAGAAGTCATAATACCATTAACAGGAAAAAAGCAAGCGTTTACTAAATTTGAAAGCGATGATAGATACATATGTGATTCGATCCCCTACCTCTAAGTTTGTGTGTGTGTGTGTGAGAGAGAGAGAGAGAGAGAGAGAGAGAGAGAGAGAGATCGGCTTGTATGCTCTATTCAATTGAGGCCCACTTTTTATTCCTCGGAGATACTAACATTAGATTCTTTAGAGAAAATGGTTAGAATTTTTCTCATTGTTTTTCTGTTATATATTAAATTAGAGTTAGTTATTGCAAGTGAACTTAAGCTTTGACCATTTCCTCTTGTATATATGTAACTTAGTTTCTGATCTACGAAATCAAGTCTCTCATTTACAAAATTACAGCTCTTGTAATATGGTATCTGAGCATTTGTTCTTTGCTTTGCTTTCTACTTTCTCCTCCATAGTCCCATAGTTTTTCAACTCTTTAATGGCTCCTTCATGGGAAAACTGTACTAATGAGACATCTCAGCCTAAAGAGCTGCCATAAGATACATCAAATTGATATCATCTTCACCTGAACAAGAATTTTGTTCTAGCTATATTTTCTCCATCTCTTAGTCCAAATTATCATCCTTGGGCTTGTCACGTGAAGATCATCAAATTATCCAAAAATAAATTTGATTCTTTCATCAGAAGCACTCTCATTCTAGATTGTTGAGATCTATAATATTTGGCTTGGCAAAGTGCAGTGCCGTGGTTCTCTTATGGATCACTCTATCTTTTTCGCCTGCTGTTGTGCAAAGCATCTTGTGGATCAACAAGGTGTATGATGCATAGAACAATCTTGAATATTGATTTTTGTTGGGGTAATATGTTTTGGGTTTTCATGCTTCTAAAAGGGCTGTATAGTTTTAAGTCAAGAGGTCTTACAAGGACTGGGTATTTTGCAAACAACAACAACAAGCTTTATCCCACTATGCAAGGTCGGCTACATAGATTATATGATACCATTATGCTTTATCATTTATTAAACTTTTAGGAATATTGTTAATTAAAAGGTCTCGCTTAACAACCTCCAAAAGTATTCTCTTTGGTCTTCCTCTACTTTTGTTGATGAGGTTCAAAGTCATCTGTTCTACTTTCCTTACAGGTGCTTCCTTGGTTTTTTTTTTTTTGTACGTGTTCAAATCATCTCAAATGATTTTCTACCACTTTTTCTTCAATAAGTGCCACACCTACTTTTTTCTGTATTTGCTCATTTCGAATTTTGTTTTTATGTGTATATTCACACATCCATCTCAACATTCTCATTTCTACTACTCCAATTTTATTCTCTTTCTGTCTTGTCAAAGCCCAACATTTACCACCATATAAAATTGCTAGTTTTATAAGAATTTGATAAAACTTTCTTTTAAACTTATTAGATACTTTACAATCGCAAATAATTCCTTTAGCCTTTCTTCAATTAAATCACCCCGCTTGTATCTTATGTGTAATATTTCCATGAATGTTCCCATTTTGTTGAATAATCGATCTCGAATATCTAAATTTTTTCACTTGAGGTATGGTCTGATTACTCAATTTCATTTCCAAGTTACTACTCACTGAGCCCTTATCAAAATTACAATGTAAATATTTTGTTTTACTTTTATTCAGACGGAAACCTTTTTGACTTCAATGTCTTCTTTCATAACTCAAGTTTACAATTTTTCTCTTCTCTTATCTCTGCAATAAGAACCATATCATCCTTAAAAAGCATGCATTTAGGAATTTCCTTTTGAATATGCTTAGTCAAAACATATAATACTAGATTAAACAAATAAGGACTTAAAGATGATACTTGATGCAATCCAATCTTTATAGGAAAATCTTTTGTTTCACCAGCAGGCGTTCTTATGTTAGTTGTTGCCTTGATAAGATTCTAGATAAAATTCAGACTTATTCAAGAAGGAAGCGGCAAAAGATAAATTAGGATTAATTTCATTTGATTTATTATTTTACTTTATTTCTTTATATTGTATTTAATTCTTTAGGTTTTATTGAGATTCAGTATTTTATCTATTATTCAATGTTTTAGATTTTAGAAGATTTTATTTAGTTATCTAGTTATCTAGATTTTATTCATTATCTTAGATAGTTATCTAGATTATATTTTAGAGTGTATTTAGCATTATAAATATGACTAGCGACCTTGAAGCTAGGATATCATTATCAATAAAACAGTCTTTTAAACCTTTTGGAGATTCTCTTGAGCGTGGCTATTGAGAGAAGTTTAGAACGAGATTCTTGTTCTATACCATCTTAATAGATTTATTTCTCTTATTTCATTTTACTATCGTGAGCACCTAACAATTTGGCATCAGAGCCATGGTTACCACACGTAGCGGTCAAGAAACCAATCCGTCTGACAACTTGTCCAACAACGACTCAGAAAATTCAAATTCACTCATGTCAGACCAATTAGCTACAATTGCTCGAAAACTCAAAACTCTTGATTTATTAAAAGAAAAGGTAGCTCTTGAAACCTCAGCAATCAAAAAACTGAGAGATTCACACCGCAGACACTCTTATGAAGATGAAGAGAGCGAAGACGAGCAAGAAAATCACAGACACACCAAATTTCATTGCACCAAAATTGAATTTCCAAAATTTAATAGAGGTGACCCACAAGGCTGGATTTTAAAGGCTGAAAAGTATTTTAAATACTATAACACACATGAGGAAGAGAAGGTGGACGTGCCATCGTTATCATTAGAGGGTGATGCGTTGGATCTTTTTGCTTGGATCAGCCATGAAAAAACAATCCATTACTGGGATGAACTCATGGCAGTGTTTCAGGAGAATTTCAGAAAAAAAATCCCTACAAGTTTCTCTGTAGCATTAAGCAAGAAGGGTCAGTACAGGATTACCGCACAGAGTTTGCAAAGCGATCAGCGCAAGTGAAGAATTGGTAGGAGCATTGCTTGCTCAGCGTCTTCATGAACGGATTGAAGGAGGAGTTGAGATCGGATGTACGCATCCATAAGCCAAGATCAGTCTACCGAGCGGTGAGTCTAGTATTGGAAATCGAATATAAAGTGGGTCTCGGCAAAACCAAAGCCAACCTGACCTAGACCCAGACCCAAACCTGGTTCCCTACTGCACCTAGTGCACGTGATTAGAGAACTTTGGATCTCTCATTCTCGTCATCTTCGCAAAAATCGCTTATCTCAATGCCGATGGGAAGCATACTAGCGAGTTCGGCGTCAACCAGAAATTCAGCCCTGGATGTCGAACAGCAGAGACGGAGAGATAAGGGGCTGTGTTTTGGCTGTGGAGACGTGTTTAAGCCTAGGCACTGCTGTCAGGGGTCGCTCTCTCATGGAAATCACAGAGGAAGGAGATGAAGTCGTTTCCCCTTTTGAAGACCGTGAACCCGATAATATTACATCTCTGTTGCTTGTCCTTATGTTACAAAAACTTCTAGTAAGTGGATTGTGGACTTGGGGGCTACTGATTATATGACTAGTGACAATACTCTTTTCAAAGATCTTTACCCGTGTCACGAGAAGTGGGTTGTAAAAATCACTGATGATTCTTGTGTGGATGTTGTTAGTCTGGGCACTATTATTATTTTTGATGATATTGTGCTCACAAATGTGCTTTATGTGCCGAAGCTTACTTGTAATTTGCTATCAGTGGGTGAACTTAACCTTTGCCTGTTCCATTAATGCTAACTTTCTATTCCATGGTTGTGCCTTTCGGGATATGAGATTGGGGAGGAGGATTGGTTGGTGTGAACAAGTTGGTATTCTCTACTACATTCCAAGTAGGCCTTTGATAGTGAGGAGATCTCTATTTGCCTCATCTTTACCTTGTGTTTCTTCCTCCTTTATTTTTGAATCCATTATAGATGAAATAACTTTGTTGCACAATCATGTTGATCATCCTAGTATGGACTATTTCCAATGCTTATATCCACAATTTTTGAATAAAGATTTGTCTTCTTTTACTTGTTAAATTTGTTCTTTGGCTAAACATACTTGTAAGTCTTATCCTTCTTGCTCTTGTACTACTTTTCACCCTTTCAATTTGATTCGTAGTGATGTATGGGGTCCTTCTCGGGTTACCAATACCACTAAGGAATGCGACTTTGTCACATTTATTGATGATCACTCTCGTTTGGCTGGGGTGTATCTTTTATGCAAAAGATCTGAAGTTTTCATTGTTTTCCAAGAATTTCATGCTCTGGCTAAGACACAATTTCAAACTACAATTCAAACCCTGCGTGTTGATAACGCTAAGGAATATTTTAGCTACTCTTTTTCTTCCTATCTTACTTCACAGGGCATCCACCACCAAAGTGCTTGACACCCCAACAAAATGGTGTCCCTAGAAGGAAGAATCGACATATTCCTGATGTCACCCGTGCCTTGTTAATAGGCACTAATGCACCAAAACACCTATGAGGTGATGTTGTTCTTGTCTCAGTCTTCCTCATTAGTTGCTCTCTCCCTCCAAAGTCCTCAAATATCACACTTTGCATTAGATTTTGCTTGAATACTGTCCTTCCTCTCTTCTGTTACACTTGCTTCCTTTAAAGGTCTTTGGTTGTCTTGCCTATGTCCATCATCCTCACTCCACTAAACTTGATGCTTGAGCCCTCAAATGTATTTGTAGGTTGCTCCCACTTCAAAAAGGTTATAAGTGCTATCACCTACCTACTCATAAATACTATTTTTCTAATGATGTTTCCTTTCGTGTACAGACTCCTTGTTATCCTAAAATACCCATTCAGGGGGAGAGGGACAATATTGCGAATGAATGGTGATTTTATCCAAATTAACCAGAACAGCCCATCATTATTCAACTTTCCTACTTTTAACCCTTGAGTGAGTCGCAAACACTCTCTGAGCCATCTGAACCTAATCCAAATAACACCCAACTTTCTTCAGCAAGTGGAATGGAACATGTAGAGGAGCAGATCAGGCCTGACCAGGCTGAATCTCATGAGGAAACAATCCACACTGAGGATCTAAATGCAGCTGGAAATGGCACATTACGTCAATCAACCACCTCGGCCTCAAATCCTCCTCCAAATGACTTTCAATGGCCAATAGCATGAAGGAAAGGGGTAAGATCATGCACTACTAAGCATCCTATTGGCAATTTTGTTTGATATGAGAAATTATCCTGTGTTATGTAATTTACTGCAAGTATTGCAGAAGGAAACGTTCTTAAGAATGCATATGAAGCTATGAGGATCCTAGTGTGGAAGTCGGCTACAAAAGAGGAAATGAAAGCTCTAAAAAAATGGCACTTGGTAAAAAGTTTTCTAAAAGAGAAGTCTATTGTGGGGTGTAAGTAGATCTTCGCTAAGAAATACAGCCCGGATGGGAGTATGAACAAGTACGAAGCTCAATTGGTAGTTAAAGGGTTCACACAAACCTAAGGAGTTTATTACCTTGACACATTCACGCCAGTGGCAAAGTTTAACACCATAAAGATGTTACTTTTGTTAACCTTGATTGGCCCTCATACCAGATGAATGTGAAGATTGCCTTCCTACATGGTGCCTTAGAAGAAGAGGTTTATATGGCAATTCCCCCTGGCTTTCAAAATGAAATGAATAAGAACAAGGTTTGCAAACTTTAGAAATTATTATATGGCCGAAAGCAATCTCTAAGAGTGTGGTTTGAACACTTCACAAAGTTTGTACAAAAGTATGGTTAATTTCAGTGTCAATCTGAGCATACTCTATTCATCAAACACAGTGAAGGGAAGGAAACTATTCTGATATTTTATGTCAATGACATTATCATTACAGGGGATAATCTTAATGAGATTGAAAAGTTAAAATTCCTTTTGTGCATCAAAATTTGAGGTAAATGACCTCAGTATTTTCTTGGTATGGAGGTAGCACACACAAAAAATGGCATCTCAATATCGCGAAGAAAATATATACTTGATCTTTGATAGAGCTGAAGAATTAGAAAAGGTTTATATATCATTTCCTAGGGCCTGTAGAATAATTTATGGGAAGGGAGATGGTGTAGAAAAGAGACTAAAAAATTATCTTCACCCAAAGGTTCCTGACCATAGGGGGAAAAAGTGGTGTATGAATAGGGATTAGGTGCAGGCGTGCAGCTAGGAGTATGTTAATCCTTTTGTAACTTTTTGGGTCTTTAAATCTTTCCTTTTTCCTAGAGAGAAGGGTAAGATGTCTCTTGTATTTTGAATGTGTTGAGAGACTAGCCTCTCAAAAGGTAGAGAGTGTTCTTGTGTTTGAATATGGCTGTGATTTCTCTTTGTTCTTGTGATTTTATTTTGTGATAGGGGAATAGGGTTTGGTATTGAATCAGTGAGGTCCCTTGTAATGCTGATTCAGTATTTCATCTCATTAATAGCAAAACCTAAGGATCTCCCTATATTTTGCCTCTGCTGTCTTATTATTCCTGCATATAGCTCATTAAATCAGCTGGTTTCCATCAATCTTCTGCAACAAACAGGTATGCTAGGTTGTAAGCCAGCAGCTGCTCCTATGGAACCCTCTCAAATTGGGATGTCGGGAAGATTGTCCCCCAGTTTACAAGGAACAATATCAACATCTAGTAGGGAAACTAATCTACCTATCTCATATTAGACCAGACATAGCTTACCCTCTCAGTATGGTATGCCAATTTTCAAGCCAACCTAATCAAGATCATATGAATGCAGCCTTGAGAATTGTAAGATACCTAAAATCCTCACCTGGAAAGGGCCTATTTTTCAAGAAAAGAACTTAGAGGCGTTGAGGTATACTTAGATGCGGATTAGGCTGGGTTTGTGACTGATAGAATATGCACTTCTGGCTATTGTTCTTTCTTGTGGGGCAGCTTAGTAACATGGAGAAGTGAAAAGCACACGGTGGTTTCAAGAAGTAGTGCAGAAAGCTGAACTACGAGCACTTGTACATGGTGTATGTGAAGGTTTGTGGCTTGAAAGGATGTTTAAGGAACTAAATATGACTTATGAGGGTTCCATGAAGTTCTTGTGTAAAAGCTTGGCCATTATAGGAATTGTCAAAAATCCTATGTGCCATGATAGAACAAAGCATGTTGACATAGATAGGCATTTCGTCAAGGAGAAACTTGACAGCAAGCTAATAAATTATGCACCAATGAGGTTGCAGATTGCAGATATACTCATGAAATCTATAGCTGAGCCTAGGTTCGAAAACTTAACAGGCAAGCTGTGAATGATTGACATCCATTTGCCAGCTTAAGGGGGGGTTTTGGAAGACATCTATATTGGGCTTGGGCCTATTGCTATTATGGGTCTAACCTAATGTCCGTTAGGGTTTTAAATTATTTTATTTGCTTTTCTGTTGTTATTATTATTAGAGAATTTTAAGGAATAAAATCGGATTAGAATCTGATTTGATCTGATTGGTTGTAACCCTAGCCCTTGACTATATGTATTCTCTAATGTTTATTGAATAAGATTGAAGCAGAGTGCTGATTACACAACTATTTCTTCATTTTTTGTATAAAGATTAACTTTTTACTTACATCCTCCCCAGTCACGAGCAGTAAAATTGCTTATTTTCCTTAGCAAAGTCTTCAATTGAATATTTTGTTTTCCCACTCTTCAGATGACTGACTTTGGCTCTAAAACGGTATTGTTTGCCAACTATTTTATTTGCTACTTGCTGTTAGTATCTCCTTGATAGTAACAGCTACCGTTTCATGCAGTTTTTGGCTACGAACCACATTCAGTTTTGCCAATTGGTGTTTCTGTGCTAGCTCACCACACCGGTTTCATGCCTCTTCCAAAAATAAGAGTTCTTGCCAGCAGCGTTGTAAGACTTCTACTTGATAGTCTGTAATGAAGCTTATGGACACTTATATTTTCAAACTCATCTCTTCAATCTGATGAATAGGTGTTCTACACACCGTTTTTGAGACACATATGGACATGGTTGGGTCTTACACCAGCAACAAAGAAAAATTTTACTTCCCTGTTGGCAGCTGGTTATAGTTGTATTTTAATACCTGGTGGAGTACAAGAAACGTTTCTCATGGAGCATGGCTCTGAGGTATACTGATTTTCATTTTCTGTTATATGATGTTTGAGGAGAAAATTATAACAAGACACTCCCTTTTACGTCTCTACAAATTATACCTTGATTTGCAAGCACAAGCATATGTCTCAAAGATCTATTAGGCTTTGCTCTCCATTCATATTTCATATTGATGCAGTGGAAAATTGGTGCAGAGCATTGTTCTATGGCTACCACCATTAACTGTGTGGTTTGATACGAATTAGAGAAAATTTGTAGATGATTATGTGTTTGTGGAATTGTGGGATCTCGGAAATCCAAGTAGGTAAATTGGATTGTGGCAAATAAATTCTAGGACCTCAGCAACAATCAATTTTAGAAGTCTATAGATGTTCTAAAACTTAAAATATGTGCAGTAGTCTAGGATTTCTGTGGGAAAAGTAAAGGATCACCATGCATTAGAGACGCCATAAAGTTATATGTTTAAAATGGCCTACTTCAAGAATTTAGACAAATTTTCCTTTGACAAAATCAAGAGGGAGCAGCTGCAACAAAGAATTTGGCTGCAATTGTAGCAATAACTCTTGAACAAGCCAAATATTCTTAGTGCCATTATTTATATTCTTATTTGTTTAAAATAAGATTTAGTGAGAAAAGCAGCTTTCCCTGATAGAAAAAAGGAGATAAAAAAGCTCTTCAAGAAAGCCAACTCCAACACAAAGTGTCCTTTTCATTCTTTTTCATGCACCTGCCCTTTGCCGACACAAGGCACTAGCCAATGCATCATTCTCACTATGGCTTCATGAATGCCAGATTGATCCTTGTAGCTCCCCCCCCCCCACTTAGATTTAAGGTACACTAGATAAGCAGCACTATGTTATCCCTAGTTGGGCTTTTAAACGTCTGAGAGTGGGAAAGACTGAAGGAAGGTAAAGTTTTCTCCCATGGTATAGAATGGAGAAGGGCTTAATGGACTGATTATTGTTCTTTAGTTCGATCAGGACCTATAATCTTGACAAAGGAAGTTCAAGACTTTCTTGACCTAAGAAAATAAAGTTGACTGATTGAGTTGAATATGTTCCAACTGCTTTGCTTTTAAAGGATGTTCTCCATAAAATGAGTCTTTAGAAAGGAACTTTGCTTGTTAAGTTCAGTATGCATCAGCGAAGTGTAATGAGAACTATTTGCTTTTTAGATTGCCTTCCTTAAGGCTAGAAGAGGATTCGTTCGCATAGCAGTGGAGATGGGCCAACCCTTGGTTCCAGTTTTCTGCTTTGGGCAGGTATTTACTTTCTGTTGATTTCTCTTTTAATAATGTCTAAACATTTTACAACTTAACTCTACATTTTAGCTTGACAAATCTCTTACCTTCTAAAATACCTTAGTGTATCTCATGGCTTATTGATTAATCTTTCTGATTAATGTGTTTAATTTTTCTTACTCATTCAAGTTAACTGTCTCTGGCTTTTGGTTTGCACTTTTTATAGTCAGATGTCTATAAGTGGTGGAAACCAACTGGGAAGTTGATTCTGAAATTTGCTAGGGCTATCAAATTCACCCCAATATATTTTTGGGGAATTTTCGGGTGCGTGTTTCTGTCAATGTTAAATAGTTTTGATAAGAGCTTTTTGTTTTCTGCTCTTTCTTACTTTGAATTTAATTACCCACGGTCCATGGGTATTTTGAAGGGATTTTTATTCCACCAAAAAAAAAAAAAAAAACGTTGCCTGAACTTTGGAGAGGAGTTACACTATTTCATATTTATATGATTGAAGTTATAGCTAAAAGGATAGAACAGTGGAATATGCCTTTTCTAAAACTAGACCTTGAGCCTACGTCTTGCATGAAATCTGAGGAAGCAAGCTGCATTTTTTATGGCTCTGCGAACAGTGTGATATCTTTTATGTGTTATATATATATATATATATATATTGATGTGAAACCATGATTTCCAGAGGTAAAATGCCGCATTTAGTGAACACACGTAATAGGAATATTTTATATAAGCTTTTAAAATTGTTTTTGGCTCGAGAGAAGCCACCCTCCATCCAATGTTAATTCATCCTCATAGTCGGGCTAAAACTTGTGCGTTATTTTTACAGTAATTCTTACGGTATGAGAACAGAAGAAACTGCAGTGTTATACTGTGACGGGATAAGAAATTAACAGTTCAGAATTTATTTGGGTTACTCGAAAATGTTTTGGGAAATAAGGGTGGAAGAAGTAATTTAGCTGTGCAAGATGATGTCCTTATTCTTTTTTTCCCTGCGAGCTTTCTTTGAAATTGGAGGATATTCGTACAGGATTGAAATTTTGATGTGAAGGGAGTAGCCATTTGTTATAGCATAAGGTTTTAATCTAGCAAGCATGGAAGTGAATTGCTGTTCTCTTGGTATTTGCTTATTCTTTTCACACATTGATAACCACCTCTACCTTTCAGATCTCCTTTACCATACAGACATCCAATGCATGTAGTGGTGGGTAGACCAATTGAGATTGACAGAAATCCAGAACCAACAGTGGAGGAGGTATAGGTGTTTTTTTTTTTTTTTTCCTTTTTTAATGAAAAGAGGAGGTATAGTTTCTGAAGCTGTTACACGAGAATCTTTTATCAGGTTTGGAAGTTATCCAGTCTTACAGTAACTCTACTAAACTTGCACGGAATTATTTCTCAAATGGTCGCAATTCACTGGAAATTTTTTCAGTAGCATTACTCCTTGAGTTATTTCTAGCAGAGGTTTGACATGCGTGGATTAATATTTTCTAGTTAAGATCATTATACACCAAAATGTGGAGATGTTCTTTAGATTGATGATAAGAAATTATGGAATCTGTATCTTGATGTGCTTCTCAAGCCAGTGGTACATATAAATAAGCTATACTTAATGAATTATTTTTTCATATTATTTCTGATTTTAGGTTGCTAAAGTACATGATCAGTTTGTTGAAGCACTTCAAGAACTCTTTGAAAGACACAAAGCTCGGGCTGGATATCCGAACCTTGAGTTAAGAATCGTTTGATGCCATAAAAGTTACCCGGTCCCATATTTTTATTGGTGTATATTTATTTTCTTCTCTTATTGGGGAACTGCATGTATCATTTACTAGGTTAAGGGGGAAAAAAGTGTAATAAAACCCTGGTATGGCTACAACGATCAACCCCCCTTGTTGGATGACGAAATGATACTAGTAGTTTGAATGGGGTTGATTTATGTCTTGATCTTCTTTATCGGTTTGTCAGCATAATGCAAAGGCCAATATTTAATGGGGATGGTTTATATCTTGATCTTCCATTAGTTCTTAGCCGATGCAATTATGCCCAGATGAACGCAAGAGGATATAGTCATTGTAACAATTTTACTCATAAAGAGTGGGGTGTGCTGAACGGTCTTCTCTCAGACTTTGGTCTCTCAGACTTTGGTTTCAGAGTTAGGAGTCTCTAATGTGTTTTTGTTTAATATCCTTTGTAATGTTTTGACTTCCTAGCTTTGTTTTTTTTTTTTAAATTATTAGCTTTTATATAAAATAAGAAACTTTGACATATTGAAGTCTCAGAGCCATTGAGTTTTATATATTTTCCTATGATTTTTTTAAAGAAAAATATTATAATTACACCTTTTTATTTTTTAAAAAATGGTAAAAAAAAATACAGGATTAATAGGCATTAGAAAAAGGTACATTAGAAGTGTTTAGCCTAAAAAATATTGTATTAGAATCTGATAGTTTAAATTTGATAGAACATATTAATAGGGGAAGCAGTAACGACGGCTCGTCCAGTCTTGTATTATTGGAAACTAAAATCATGAAACTAGACTTCAGCATGTGAAGCTGAAGAGGGAGAACTTTGTGCCGAAAAAGAAAGAGAGAAGAGAAAAGAATAGAGAGCAGAACTAAGTGGCATGTTAGTTGGCAATTGGTGAAGGAAGGAATTTAGTATTCTTTATTTGAGGTTGCTTATGATTTTTTGGTGAGCTTGGTTACTTTTGACATCCTGGGATTTCAATACCCTTCTATGTATTTTTACTTTAAATTTCTTGGCCTACCCTCTTATGTACTAAAAAAAATTGCAGACTTCAAACTCTAATTAAAAACAAACTCTAATGAAAAACTTCAACCAATTCAACAAGAATCAATAAAGAATTGAATGATATTAATATGTAAATATAAAATCTATAAAAAATTGTCACATATGTTAAAATGTATAGTTAAATAGTGTAAATATATTTTATTTCTTTAATAGATAGATTAGTTGGTGGTTAGAGGTTAAGATAGTATTTATTATTTTATGTTGATGTACTTTTATAAATAGTAATGCTAGCTTCTGTAAATGGTAGTAATGAAATAATAAAGAATAGTTTTTTACCAAATTTGTCATAGTATCATAACCTATTTGAGGCTTATAGTTCTTTTAAGATTGGGTTATTTTTTGCATTAAGTTTTCAGCTGTCTCTATGCGTTAGGGTTTTGAACAGTCAAGCCTACTGTTGTCGGTGACTATTTAGCCTACACGCATCGGACTATCACCTCCACCTGCCGCCGACTAGCCAAACCCAAAAGTCCAACCGTCGTCCACCGTCACATGCGCTGCCCGACTAAATCTGCCCAGTGTTACATTTTCGATAAGTGAGAGCACGTCTAGGCTCTATTTGGCCTTTGGTCATCTCCATTTTGCTTCTCTCTTTGTTTCAATCATGTCTGACAAAAAAAACACATCTGATAATATTGGGTCTTCCTTGTTTGGGATTTATAGGGAGTTGCCAAGTGTTCTGATTGCTTATCAATTGACTGGAGTCAACTTCCTAGCTTGGTCTCAGTATGTTCATACCTTTTTAAAGGGTTGAGGAAAGCTTAGTCATTTACTTGGGACCTGGTCTTAAGCCAAAAGAATCTAAGTTTGATGCTTAGGATGAAGCTGATTTATTGGTAATGTCCTGGTTGTGGCAATCTATGGCCCTTGAAGTTAGTTACATGTGTTTGTTTCTATCCTTAGGTAAAGAGATTTGGGATATGGTGCACCAGACTTACTTGAAGGTGAAGGATGCTGCCCAAATTTATGAGATACGGACTAAAATTTCCAACACCAAATAAAGTAGTAAATCTGTTACGGAATACTCTACCCTTATAAAGAGTTTGTGGCAAGAATTAAACCACTATCAATGTATTACTTTAAAAGATCTTGATGATGCAACTACCTTTAAACGCTTCATTGAGAAGCAAAGAATTTTTTAGTACCATACTAGGCTTAATTTAGAATTTGATCTTATAAGAGTTTAAATTCTTGGTTGAGAAGATGTTCCCTCTCTCAATGAGATCATTGCCATTATATTAGTAGAAGAAGGCTGTCGAGGAGTGATGATGGAAATTCCATTTGTGGAAAGCTCTACCCTGGTTTTAAGGAATGTTGCTTCTTATTCTGTGGAAAATGAGAAACAAGGGGACTCTTCCAAGAAAGAACCTATTCGATGCTTTTATTGCAAGAAGCTATGGCATACTAAGGAGAAGTATTGGAAGTTGCATGGTAAGCCTCCAAATATGAAAAAAGGGCAAGCTCATATGGCCACTGATTCTACTAGGGAGAATTCTAGTTAGACTGACCTTAAAGGGGAGATTGAGAAACTAAAATTTATGCTATAGTCACTTGATGAGGCGACTACTTCTAGTTCTGGTATAAGTATATGTTCTTTGGGGTTCTTAGGTATCTTCTTCCAGCCTTCATTTGTCTTATTGTCATCTGCATTTATTACCTCAAAACAAGATTGTCTTTACTCTTGGATTGTGGATTTTAGAGCCTCAAACCATTTGACAAATTCCTCCAAGAATTTCGTATCTTATAGTCCATGTCCTAGTAGTAGGAAAATCATGTGGGGTGATGGGTTTATAGCTACTGTGGCTGGTTAAGGAAATTTCAAATTGAGTAATGGTCTTCTCCTAAAAAATGTCTTGCATGTTCTTAAACTATGCACAAACTTTATCTCTATGAAAAAACTTGCTACTAATTCTGATTGTTATATCCTATTCTCTTCTCTCTCTTTTCTTTTTTAAGAGCAAGAGACGAATCAGATGATTGGACTTATTGAAGAAAGAGATGGACTTTATTTTTTTGATGAGCTTAGTAAATGTAGTAGGATTCAAAGCTTGATGGCTTCTTCTTCTTCTCAGTCAAAAAGAGTTGAGTTTAGAAAAGATCAGATTTAGCTTTGTTATAGTCATTTAAGTCACCCTTCATTTAATATTTTAAAAACTATGTTTCCTTCTTGGTTTAAAGATGTACCTGTTGAGTCCTTTCTTTGTGATGTTTGTGAGTTTGCAAAACATAAACGATCTTCATATCCTATGAGTAATAAAAGAACTTCTATTCCTTTTAGCCTAATTTATAGTGATATTTGGGGTCCCTCTATTGTCCCTAATGTTACCGGGTCTTGATGGTTTGTGTCCTTTATTGATGATTGCACCCGTGTAACATGAATTTATTTACTAAAACAGAAATCTGATGTTAGTACTATTTTTCTCACTTTTTATAACATGGTTAAAACTCAATTTGGAGTTGGGATCTAAATGTTTAGGTTTGACAATGCAAAAGATTTTTTTTTCATCAATCATTGTCCATATTTTTTGATACGTATGGAATTCTACATGAATCATCATGTGTTAATACTCCCTAACAAAATGGGGTGGTTAAGAGGAAAAATAATCATCTTCTTAATGTTACTAGAGTATTATTGTTTCAAACTAATGTGCCTAAACAATATTAGGGAGAAGCTATTTTAAATGTTACACGCATGATTAATAGACTTCCAATCTCAGTCCTTAGTTCAAAAAGTCCTATTGATGTTCTTACTCAATTTTCCCTTAATTGTAATGCATCAAGTGATCTTATATCTAGAATATTTAGATGTATGGCCTTTGTTCATGTGCATTCTCAGCAAAGGACTAAACTTGACCCTAGAGCTCTTAAACGTGTGTTTGTTGTGTATTCCTCTACTCAAAAAGGGTATAAGTGTTATCATCCTCCTTCTAGGAAGTTTTTTGTGCCTGATGTCACTTTTTTTGAATCTAATTCTTATTTCAATACCCCTTTTGAAAGAGGGAGTCCTCTTAGTGAGGACCAAGGTCATAATCCTCTTGTTAATGAACTTTTTAGTTCCTTACATAGTGAGACCTTAGAAGCACCATCAACTCCTAAATCTACTTATCCACTACAGGTTTTCACTTAAAAGAAAAAGAGAACATCTCAACTTACACAAGTCCAATCATTTGAAATGGCTCTTGCTCGAACTTTTGAACCCGTACATGAAAATTGTAAGGTAACTCTTGATTTTCCTAAAAACACTAAAATTCCTTCAAGTTCTCATGATGTTTCTAATAAATAGGATTTATCTGAAAATAATTCAAAATAGCTTGATTCAGATCTACTTAGAAAACACTAAACTTCCTTCAAGTTCTCATGATGTTTCTAATAGATAAGATGTATCTAAAAATAATTCAAAATAGCTTGATTCAGATCTACCTATTGCTCTGAGAAAGGGGACCCACAATTGCACCAAAAAATCCTTATACCCAATATTTTCGTTTCTTTATAAGAAATTATCTTGTAGTCACAAAGCTTTCCTTACTAATCTTCATCCCACCCAATACCATAGTCTTTGAGGCATTAGCAGATGAGAATTGAATTAAGGTGATGAAGGTTGAGATGGATGTACTTGAGAACAATAATACATGGGATCTTATTCTATTAATAGAGGGAAAGAAGCTTGTTGGGTGTAAGTGGGTCTTCATTCTTAAAGACAATTTTGATGGTGCTTTAGACAAATACAAGACTCTGCTCATTGCCAAAGGATATACTCAAACATATGGGGTTGACTATGAAGAATCTTTTGCTCCTGTTGCAAAAAATGAATACTTTACATATTTTATTATCTTTAGTAGCTCTCTATGATTGGGAATTATTGCAGTTTCATGTGAAAAATGCATTTTTACATGGTGACTTAAAGGAAAAGATTTATGTGGAGATTCCTTCTAGGTTTGGTTCTCATCTTCTTCCTGGTATTGTTTGCAAGCTAAAAAAGGCTTTGTACAACTTGAAACAATCACTCAGGGCATGGTGTGGCAAGTTTTCAAAGGCCATAGTTGGCATGGGGTTTAACACAGAGTTAAGGAGATTACACTTTGTTCATCAAACATTCTTCTTTAGGGGGAGTAACAATTTTACTTGTTTCTGTTGATGATATCATAGTAACAGCGAGTGATTTGGAAAGGATTCAGTCTCTACGAAGTTAACTGATGAAAGAATTTCAAATGAAAGATTTAGGGAGGTTCAGATATTTCTTGGGCATTGAAGTGGCGCATTCTAAGCATGGCATCTTCATATTATAACATAAATATATTCTCGACCTTCTCACTGAAACAAGAAAATTAGGGTGTAAACCTATAGACACTCCAATTGAATATAATCAGACTTTGTGAGGAAGGAAAACATCTTGACAAATCGAAGAAAAGTCATAAGCCCAACAAACCTCCTCTCTTAGAGAGCCTTTTGTCAATAATGAATTCTCTCAAAGACTTGTTGGGAAATTGATTTATCTAGCTTACACTAAGGTAGACATTGCTTACACCGTGAGCGTGGTAAGTCAATTTATGCATGATCCTAAAGAACCTCATCTACAAGTAGTTTATCACATACTTGAGTATTTAAAGGGCATTCTGGGAAAAGGTATTATGTTTAAGAGAGGAAAAAAATTGACTCTTGAAGCATACATGAATGTAGATTATGGAGTGATGTGGATTCTAGAAAGTCTACATTAGGATATTGTATGTTTCTTGGCTCAAATCTCATTACTTAGAGGAGCAAGAAGTAGGATGCAGTATCTAGATCTTGTGCTGAAGCTGAGTTTAGAGCTATGGCACTTGGAATTTGTGAATTGTTGTGGATGAAGATAATTTTATCAAATTTGAGAATCAAATGGGATGGTCCAATGAGACTTTATTGTCACAATAAGTCCACTATCAACATTGCTTATAATCCTGTACAACATGATAGGACCAATCATGTTGAAATTGATCGACACTTTATTAAAGAGAAGTTGGAAAGTGGTATAATCTGTACTTCTTACATACCTCGTTTAACTGAAACTATAAAAGAAGTGTTACAATCAAGTTTAACTATATAAATTTTTTTACTTATTTATATATTTTAAATTTGATCCAAATAAATTTAATTTAAATTGAGTCCCAGTCACCTAGATTACCTCCTTTAATTGGAACTATAAAAGCTCATGTCTTTAAAAATAAAATGACATTGACCAAATTTTTTTTTTTCTGTCATTGAAAAACATACTGACCCGAAAAAAAAGGTCTTTACGGCGTCGTATCGCCTTCGTAAATCAAAGTACCTCGTCTCTCGTCAGTCGTCTGCCAGCGTGACGTGAGTATACAGTGCATCCCATAAAGGCTGCCGTTTCAGCCGGAACATTTGGAATTGTAAAGATTGCTGAACGTACGAGGGGGGTAGCATAAAGGAACGAAGGCTGGATAAGTTAGGGCTTAGCATATTCAACTTACTGTTTTTGCTATTTAGGGTTTGGTTGTTCCTGTAGCCTTGAATTTGTTGCAGGTAATTTTGCATTTATTTATTTCTCTTTTTAATTACAATTTGAAATGTGAAAAAGAAGACCTCCGAGCTGCACGCAGTTTTGGCTAAAAATACTAGGGTTTAGTTCCAACTAGTTTTCTTTTTCTTGTTTTGGGTGGAGGGGCATCGAAGGCATTTTTCTTTTTCTCATGTTTCCGTATACGCAGGTTTAGGGGTTTGTGCTTTCTCATGCGCGGTTAAAATTGGAGATGAGTAATGCCAACGAAAGCGAGGAATCTGGCCAGAAAGTGCCAGAGGGTGGGGACCAAAGCAAGCAATTGATTGATGCACAGGTTCAACTCGATGCTGCTTCTACTTCTTTTCCAGAAGAAATAGCTACGAATCTTGTTGAAAATGTGAAGGTAGAGGCACCTCCTGGTGATAAAAATCTGGAACCAGGGATTATGTCGGAGGGTACTCAACAACAAGAAGCTCAAAATATTCTTCACCCCGTCCCAGTTGAATCCAATGGTCATATTTTGGTTAAAACCGAGTCAGAACACGTATCAGATGTGAAGAATGAGGTCAAAGAATTATCACAGGCACATACGGGCATAGAGCGTGACGCTGCTGTTGGTGAGAAAAATGCGGATACTGCTGAAACAGTTAAGGATGTCAAGCCTGAAGCTTGTGAAGTCACTGCCAGTAAAACTTGCAACAATGGTGATTCCTCACCCTCGGGTCATAACGAACTTGCAACGCTGCAATCTGTTCCCGTTGATACAAAAGCTGGGATTGAGAATGGCATAAAAGTTGAGAGTAAGGTCCATGAAGAGCATGCTGCAACACTTGTAGATAAAGGGAATTCAAACACAAAGCACTCTTTTTTAGATGTTGACTATGATGGGAATGAGTCAGGTACCGAAGCAGAGCAGTCTGCTTTTATGAAGGAGCTTGAAAATTTCTTTAGGGAGAGGAGCATGGAATTTAAACCTCCTAAGTTCTATGGAGAGGGGCTTAATTGTCTAAAGTGAGTTTTTCCTGTTCATTGAAATTTAGTTTTACTATGGCATAAATAATATAAATTCTGAATTTTTATCTAATTCACCTGAATGCTTAATTGGTGGAAAATAAGGTTGTGGAGAGCGGTGACCAGATTGGGTGGCTATGACAAGGTACACTTGCGTGCCTGTGTTCAAATTTTGTTTTTTTCCTCCTTTTCCATTGATGCACTCTTATTATTTTATGTAGCTTTTTTCTCAACCTGGGTAGAGATATTTGATGCCCGTAGTTTAATATTTTTCGGTGGTGTTAACCAGTTGAATTCTATCATGACAAATTGGAAATCGCATGAATATCTGTATGTACGTTTGTATGTTTGTATGCGTGTGCATGTGTTATGGAGTCACCTTATCCCTGAATCTTGCATTCTAATTTTTAAGTGAGGGACTCTGGTAAGTAGGGTCAACTAGGGTCAACTATATGAATTGCGCGATATCATTATGCTCTATCAACAACTAAACCTTTGGGTGTATTGCACTAAAATTAGTTAATTGATTGAAGTTCATCCAACTTTATATACATTCATGTTGTGTAATATTGCTTTTTTTATGTGTGAGTATGTAGTGTCTTTGATACTAACTCGATCTAAAGAACCTTTAGTTTGTGTTTGGTAGAGGGAGACTTAAAAGACTCAAATCTATCATATGCTTTTAATGTTTCCATTTGAAGAGAATGAAGAAAGCAGCTGGGGGGGGGTTAGGTCCAGTGGAAATGGCAAAAGAATCCTTGTATGCCTTGTAAGATAGATTATTATGAGCTATACTTGGCATTCAAGTATCAACCCAAACTAAACTTGTTGAAAATACCTGTAGGTGGTAGGGGTTGGGTTATTGATGTGAGATGGATTCATAAAAAAGGAGGTTCTTGTTATAATCCAGAAACAATTTGTATATTTATTTCACAGAAACGTGAAATCAAAGTAGGTGATGAAGTTGTTGGAAGACGTGGCAAATTAAGGTTTGAACCTTCACTGGGAGAGGTGTTCACATTTAGTATTCGATTGTGCCTCGAACAAGATTACTTCCAATAGGAGAATACTTGTGAGCAATTAAAAAAAAAAAAGAATGAAGTAAGCAAAGAGGTTTTTGTTGCTAACTAGTGGGACCTATTTGCATGACCCAGCAAAAATTTGATTTTTTTTTCCTACCATTCTTTGAATCACAGGAGAATTGTAGCATTCATCCATATAGGGTCAAATTGCACAGATTCTTCCAATTTGGCCAATGGTCTATGAGATTTCCAATTCTTCCTACGATATGCATAAACTGGGGTCTATATTTTTGCAAATCATATGATTTAATGATGCTGACCTTGTAAGGATGAGTTGCATGGTTATGCAGTTCAAAGAAATATAGGAAACTTGAAAATGTTTCAGCTTGAACAATTGGGTCCATTACAGGCTACTGAAAAAGTCTAAATCTTTTCATCTGTCCAAAACTTCAAATAAGAACATTTAGGGGTATATGATGGAATGAGAAAAATAAAACTGAGTTTTGACTCGCACAACAAAAAGCTGACATTTTTGTGTTAGTCTTGTGGCTATGTATGCATCTCTCTGCCAATCTCAAATTAGTGGTCCCTTATACACAGTCTGCAAGCTAGGTTGCAAATCGATGGAATGTATGATTTCTTAACTAGATGCAAGCAGATATATATTAATTCCCTCCATCCCATTTTATAAGACATTTTTTTGGTAAAATTACAAGTCAAATAAATATAATTTGAAATCTTAATCTTAATTTTTCTATAAATTTCCAAAAAAATACCCTTCATTTAATAAGGGAAAGAGATAAAGAAATATATTGAAAGAGTGAAATAATGAGGGGTAATATTGAGATAACCAGCATTAATGAAGCCTCATTTTTCTTCAAAACATCATATATTTTGGAACACCAAATCACCTCCAAAAATGTTTGATAAAATGGAGTGGAGGGAGTACATGATAAGACAGAGTTTTGACTCATGATGAAAACTTTGCATCTCTGTCAGTGTTGTTGATGTGTGCCGCATGTTTGTCACTGTTAATCTCAAAGGGGAGGTTCCTTAGACGGTGCCTATAAGCTAGGTTGTAAACTAACAATGTTTGTTTCTTGACTAGATACAAACACATATAGATTGCATAATAAATTGCTTTTGAATGATAGTTACTTGAAAATTTTTATAATTAGTATATAGTATATGATGGAATCAGTTTTATATTTTTAAATAATATGTTAGAAATTCCCGTTTGATTATCTTCCTTTTATATTCTTAGTATATATAAGTTTGTAACTTGGAATAGTTTTGGTAACATAAGTTTAGGGATGATAAATCATTTTTAAAATAAAATCAACATAATGAATTTTAATCTAATACTTAGAGTGAAAAAGAACATTTAATTATCAGTCAAATGATGATGTCTGAATATCAAAGATATTATATCTAATATCATCAATGCATCTTAAATTTTATATGGGTTGGATTTAGTTGAATGGAATTTACTTAGGTATTTTGTTTGATTTATAAATATAGACATCTTTATCATTCTTTATGTCTTTTAAGTATCTATTCTCCACTAATTCTTTGATTGCATATTATTTATTATTGATTATTCACAATTTGAAAATAAGCTATCTAAATTTGTGATCTGTGCTGTGATTTGATAAACTATGACTAGCATACCAAATGCCTCTTAATCGATGTTGAAATATTGCTTTGTTTGGTTACAAGTTTTGATGAATCAATTAGTTGATAACTTAGGAAGCTCCTTTGCTTTCATCATTGCATCTGCATTGTAGAAATTGTTCTAACTCTAATGCATTTGGTGTGATTTTTACCATAGGATAAATGGCTTGTTTCTTAAAAAGGGGATGCTAATTGGACACTGCTGGAAATTTGTTTAAATGGTTGTTTTCATTGTTGCCAAGGCATATGTCTGACTGACTTGTGTTTATTGATAGGTAACCTCATGTAAGTTATGGCGGCAAGTTGGAGAATCATTCAAGCCTCCAAAGTAAGGGACAGCACATACTTTCTCATCATGAACCTGTTTAATTGAACTTTGGTTACCATGAAGATTTGTGGCCTTTGAACTAATGCCGCATTTTCACCTTTTAAAATTGCCTAAACATTGAGGGGTATCATTTTTGGAAGCATGGAATTGGAACTGAATGGTTTTAGGCAGACAAATTGGATGCCTAGTGTCTTACATCTCTTGAATGCTGTCGGATGTCATGTTTGCAATGTGTGTTGTGAATATGTTGCTTGTTATGTCATTATGCAATGACAGTCTTCATGGAAAGGTCGTTGGGAGCAATTGAAGTGTCAATATCTGTCAGAAGGAATTATAAACGAAGAGTTTATTATCAATAGCTTTTACAATTGTAACTGTACCCCTTTCCTCCAACCTTACTGATTTTTGGTTAGGAATTGCCATTAATTCATAACAATATGTACCTCCAATAGAAAGGGTTGGGGGGAAGGAAAAGACGAAAGCGTCCTTGTCCGAAAGGATGGTATTAGAAGCAACAACAATAGTTGAAAAAGTAGGAAATTGTTGGTAAATAGCAATCAAATCCTCCCAAGTAGAATCTTCAACATTGGAGTGCTTCCAACGAACTAGAACTTGAGTAATAGGCAAATTGTCAAACTTTACAATATTCTGGCCAAGGATTTTGTCAAGTTCAAGGAAAAGGAAAATTTATACTTAAATAGTGGCATCATTGATTCTCCTATAATGCACGCAAAAGTGCCAAGACCTATCCTTTTTCTGCATCAAGACTACATATGATGTATTTAGTGATCAAATCTTGTGGAAGGTGGAAGTGGAGTTGTCTTAACAAACATCATAGTAAGACTCCAAAACGTAAGCCAATTGTTGTTGTTCCTTCAATAATGGAGTGCCATTTGACAAGCCCACTTTTTGTTGGTTTTCCATGTGGATGAGTAACCCTTACTCAGCAGCATGAAGAATTCAAGGAACCAACACTTCCTCCTTGGGTAATCCGCCTATACAACCCACACCTCTAATGACAAGAATTCCTATTCGAATGAAATGCCATCACTTTATGGCCTATATCCAAAGGTAATTCTCCCAACCTAGCCTTGAAACTAAAGTTCTACATGACATGCTATAAGCCCTTGCATTTCTTTGTAGCCCACATGCATCTCACACTGTCTCCTTCACATCCTTGATTTCTTGTGTTGCAAGTCCCCAGCTTTTTGCTGGGTTAGCATCAATAGCACTGTGTGCGTTACTTATGTTTATCAAAACAAAAACTTATTGCTTCTTAATCTTCATAGTTGAAGCAATATACTTTCCTTCAATGGTATTCACAATTCCTATCGATTTCTCTTGCTCTTCTCCCTCTATGGCATCCATCAACTCCATCATCTTGCACTGACAAAGAGAAAAGTTGTGATTCCTTGCACTTATCACCAGGTGAAAATTTTGTAGAGCTCTAGAAACAAAGCCCTTTGTTACTTCTCTCTTCCATTTCCTTTTAAGATGTCTAGCTAGCTTGGAGCTATTGCCAGAGCTGTCAATTGAGCTAGAAACCATCTGACTCTTTTTCCTTGCAACTTGCAGTTTTGAAAGAGCCCCTATCAAACTTGAGACTCTGCTGACTCCTGCACTTACTACACTTCCACTACCACTCAATAAACAAGGTGCAGCTCTTTGAGTTTGAAAGAGTATGCTCATGCACAACCTAAATTGGAGAACCTATTGGGATAAGGCTTGTTGTTTCATAACTAGTATTGAAAGCTTAGAAACACTCATTGCATTTGAATGTCTTGAGCCTCCAATGTATCAACTTATCATAACCTCATTATGTACGTCAACCTTCGTCTTTAATTCCTCGAATTGCTCTTCATACTTTTCAACATAACCAAAACCTTCTGTCTCAAGTTCTTGATCACCATAATTGGATTCACACGTCACACATCAATGACCTTTGCCTCAATCTCCTTGTACTACTCTCACTAGTGACCTTTCTACTTTTCATCATAAAATTTGGGTGCTGCCTTGATATCCATTTCTCTACATGGATATTGGAGCTTAATGTCATGCACCACCACCATCTCATCCACCTCAAAGAACTGTTAACACCTATACACTAACTGGAGCATTGTAGTGTGTCTGGTTTGTTAGTTGAGCCACATACAATCTGAATTGAGGCATTGTCACTGGTCCGCTAGAGCTTGACTTTTTAGTTGATTTCACCTCCATGGTTGTTCATAGGTAGCATTGTCATCTTCTCAACCATATCAACTATAAATGCTTCAATTTGAGCTGCAAATTACTGCAAATCTCCAAGATTGTGAGTATTCTGTTCCAGTTAAGTTTGATTGTTCTCAGCTATTGTAGCTTGAAGCTCCAGTTGATACTTGATCTCCAAATCTCTCCGGTGATTGCATCTATGGTGCCATTGAGCCAAAGTGGCTCTGACATAATATTGATTTTGGGAAGTAAGTAATGAAGAGTTTATTCATCAATAGCATTTGCAAGTGTACCTAGAGGACTATTTATAGGCCACTCTAACCATTTTCTCCAACACGACTGATATACCCTCCCTAGTTATTTACCCATTGGTAGTGAGGAATTGTGAATTATTCGTAACAATACTAAATTAATTATGATTGATGAATCTATTGAATTATCCTAGCTAGATCAGTTTCGAAACTGGTATAATGGTTCCTTCCTTCCCCCACCCAAGTACTTGTTTCTTGGCTTCCACTTTTATTTGCTTTCATTTTATTGGATGTTGGGGGAGAGGACACTTTGAGTCATTTAAATTGAAAGTTTTGTTATTTCATGGTCTGGTGATATGTTTATGTTTTCTCCAACTTTTGTAGGACATGTACAACTGTATCATGGACATTTCGAGGATTTTATGAAAAGGTAATTTTAGATTAATGAACTGTAATTAGCTTTCTCTCATTTATTACTTCTGTTAAGCTGGCTTCAAATATTTATTTGCCCATGTTTGACATGGATGGAGTTCAATAAAGCTTATAGACTTAGTCGGCTAACAGTTTACTCATTTTCAAAATATCTGATGAGTGCATCAGTTGTTTTCCCTTTGGAATTGCACCGTCTGGTGTAGGCTCATATCCTTTAGATTTTTTTAATATTCACCTGTAGCCTTATTTGTGCTGCTTATAATATGTTACCCCAGGCTCTTCTTGATTATGAAAGGCATAAAACAAAAGGTGGTGAGCTTACTGTTCCTATTGCTTCTCATTCAGAGCCTATAAATATTGAAAATCAGGTATTATGTGAACTACTGTCTGATCTCTTAGCATGATTAATGTTATGAGGGCCAAATTGTGGGTGAATTTTTTCCTCTTCATTGACTTGAAGAGCATGGTTGGATACAGCTTTTCTGTGCAGCTTTTTACGTTTGCATGGATTTCTTTTCTTTTCTTTTCTCTTTTTCTTTTTTTGAGCAAAGCATGGATTTCAAAACTACCTTTTTGAGACACAAAATTTATACTTTTGCTGAAAGTCCATTTGCATCTTAAAACGAACACATTAAACTTTTGGGCATTCCATTCTATCAAAGTATCAGAAATAAAATGGGAATAGTTATAAAGTCACTTGGCATCCCACAAGTTATATTATTTAGCATGCTACAGGCTGTAACTGTGGAGTTAGTAAATGATTTTCTTTTTCTTTTGTTTTTTTGAGAGATATACAATTTACTGTTTTAACTATCAGTTTGAATCACTTCAGAGTTCAGATATGCTTTATCTTTACAAGGCTTAGGCGTGAGTTTAAAGTAGATCTGATGTCATTGACTTGAAGTCATTTATTGTGTAAAAAGCGCTAGAAGTTCACAATGTTAATTGAAAATGATTAGATTGTTTATGCCATCATACAATTCCCTAAAGTCCCTCATTTAGTTGCATTAAGATTGAAAATTGAACAGCGTCACTGTCCACATTTGCATCTTACAATCCTTTTTGCCTGATGACTGCGTGTAATTAGGCTTCAGCATCAGGTAGGGCACGGAGAGATGCTGCAGCACGGGCCATGCAAGGTTGGCACTCACAACGCCTTCTTGGCAATGGTGAAGTTAGTGACCCAATTATTAAGGTCTGGTTTATATTTGAGATTCTGATACAAGTTCTCCTAGATATTTTGTTTACTGGATTTTTCATGGCAATGTAACCATATAATGCATTTGTTTTCTTTAGGATAGGACATCCATGCCCATGCAGAAGCGTGAAAAGCAGCTTAAAAGCATCAGTATGACCCTTTCATCCTAATTGTTGTTTTTGACAGTGTTATTTGTGCTAAATGGTTCTAACTATTGGATCACTTCCTCTGATTGGGTCAGACTTATTAAAACGCAAGAAACCATCTTACATGGATAATGCAGTCAAAGCAGCACGCAGTAAACCATCAAAGCCACAGTTAAGATGACATTTTCTGTTTCTCTTTTCTTTTGTTTGCTGTGCTTGCTTTCTCATTTATTGGATTATTTGTTTAGTTAATCGTTCATGAAATGTGACACGTCCCTATTGGATGTTATACTAAGGCAATTGGCATTATGGTTCTTTTACTAACTTGTCTTCTGCGTTGATGTCTGTGGCTATTTTAGATTGGACACAGCAGTTGTTGATGTGGGACCTCCTGCTGATTGGGTAAAGATAAATGTCCAAAAAACTGTAAGTTAATTTGTCTTGTGTTGAAATTGGAGATAATCTGTGTATGTAATTAACTCAGCAAAATGTTTTTTGTGTACAGAAAGATTGTTTTGAGGTCTACGCATTAGTTCCTGGCCTTCTACGAGAAGAGGTAACCGGGATATATTCTCGTTTCTGTTATCTGTACTTCATATGTTTCCTTTTCTCTGACTTGTCTGGCACACTCTGAAAAAGAATGAAATGGAAAATTGAATTAAAGCAATCTTTGATGATAAAACATGGCTTTCTGTTCTTCACAAAAGTAAGAGAGATAAAAATGATTAACTGTTGACTTTAAGTAATCATTATACAGGCATAACAGACATTGTATAGAAAATAAAAAGAAGAAAAGGAATACATAATGGACTTCTAGTATTGGTGTTTGTGAGGTTGGCTATATGGATTGTACAACACTTTAAGTAATCAACAACCAAATCTTTATATATATATTGTTAATCAAAACGTCTCTTTCAGTAACCCAGTCATGTAAGATCTAATTTTTGAAATTTTCCTTCATCTAGGCTTGTTGGGTTTTACATGTATTTGAATGTTTGATAGAATTACAAATATTTTTAACTCAATCTTGCGGACACAAGAAGCAACAAGTCCCCAAAAAAATAAAAAGTAAATAAAAATAAAGTAAAAAGTTTACAATACTGAAACTGATTTGAGAATACTTCTATTGTTTAGAGCTTAAACATAGAATTTGTCATTGGTTTTCATTATATGTGCTTTTTAAAACCAGGTCCGTGTTCAGTCAGATCCAGCAGGACGCTTGGTCATTAGTGGTGAACCTGAGCATCCTGATAATCCTTGGGGGGTGACACCTTTCAAAAAGGTAGTCTTCTATTTCATCTGCAAGGAAAAAAGACGTATCTGGTCATCTCTCATTTTCCTACAACAGCTCATGCTGCGACCTTTTTAACTTGATAGCATCACAAGTTTTGATTATACGTTGCAACGCCCAGGCAGCCCCACCCCAAAATTAGAATATTCACAGTAGCACTGCTGAATTTCAAGTGAAACAATCAATCATTTTTTGGCATTTTGAATCAAAATATCTGTGATTTCACTGAACCTACCACTTTTCTGCGATACCCTTTTGTGAGCAATTCATGCATTAGAAGTCAACTGACATTTCATGACATACTCCCTCCGTCCCTATCTATAAGAAGTTTTTTAAAATCTTTTTTTGTCCCTTACTATAAGGGGTTGTTAGCATTTTTTAATGAATGGACCATTATACCCTTATTAAATTGAAAAGAAAAAAAGATAAGTACTATCATTAATTTATTTTGGAAAAAGATTCATTTTTTATTTACAATAATTAGGGGCAAAGTTGGAATGTTATATTTTTAATTAGATAACTAACTTTTATTGGTTTGTGTGATTCGATTAAAAATATTTTATATACAGAGACGGAGATAGTATGTGCTGAAAGTGTGTACTGTTTAAGTTGCCTATATTTATCCAAAAGAGAAATACCATCTTGCCTTGCGGACCTGGATTTAATTTATGTTGTTAGTACTTCAGGAGTAATTCTAAATGCTCCAAATTGACGTGGGAGAGTATGCCAAGTAACAGGGAAAGGACTCATCTCATGTCTGACACCTCGAGGATATCCTTGATTGTCATACCGAAATGAAAAATGTCCCCGTCTTGTTCCTCCCACATTTATGTTTCGTATAAGTGTGCATGCTACTCATGTGTGTAAGTACTTGATTAATGTAGGTTGTAAGCTTGCCTTCAAGGATTGATCCTCATCAGACATCGGCTGTGGTTACATTGCACGGACAGCTGTTTGTTCGTGTCCCATTTGAACAATCAGAGTAGTGGTTGCTGTTGCATACGTGATTTGTTCAACTTGATCCCATTTAGAGAAATGGATCCCGCCTTTTAGTAGACAACTTTTCGAGCTCAGTGGAGTGTATATTCTATGTTAATTAATGTTTAATATTTTAGTATATGTTTTCTCAAGAATTGCATTGTGATCCTGTCTCAAATATTTTATAGTTAGGATTTTACTGTAGTATATCTCAAATATTATGTAGCTAGCTGTTGATTTTTTTTCTTTTTTGGTTCTGGTAGTTGTCGTCTATTTTTTTTTTTTCCCATTTCTTGATCAATCTATAATATACCTCCCAAAACATTTATGAAACTGAAAATTACTTCTCTCGCAAGTTATTTTGTTGGAGGTTGCAGGATGACCTGGATCATGTATATACGTTGCATAATAACTGGACTAGGGGTTCTGCGTTTTCCATGAGCATACTTTCATGGGAGAAAGACAGTTAGGTCCAATGCATTGAATTAATGATAGTTAAATTTTTGATAATTTTTTTTAAATAATATAAAAATATTGATTCTGATGATTACAAATTTAAATCTTAATTATAAATAAATTTTTTAGTATCTCTTGTAATGGAAATTTATGTTTTAACTGAATTAATTTTACAATCTTTTCAACAAATTTGATGGAGATTTAATGATCATTAATTTAATCCTTTTGGGAGCTAACCTACATTCTTCCTAATTATTGGTAGTGGCCTGCTTATTAGGTAATTAGTGATATTAATGTCACGAAAATATCGTGTTCATTTGGAAGATGGGTAAAGGAAATGTTTTTTTAAATCTGAATTGTTCAGTTTTTTTAACATGGATCATAGATTTACGCAACGCAACTGGAATATGGGTTCTGAGTTTTCTGCAAGCGTAGTTTTGTTGATATTGGTCTTCTCCCGAGGGAATTAATCCTATTAACGCTAGGAAAATATCTTTTGTTCATTTGAAAGATGGGTAAAGGAATGTATTTTCTCTTAAAAATTGATACGTAAAAAAATAATGAAAATTGAAAAACATTTATATGTTTTACATAAAATTTAGTTGCTTTAAATTTTATTCTACAATAAGGACTTCATTCATCCTTAAAACAATCCCATAAAAAACAAAAAATCCTTAAAACAATCATTCATTGCACAAGGGCGTTTTTTTTTTTTAAGATTTTTGCATCAAACCAAACAAATAGCCGAATATTTATTATATTTTGTATTATGACTGATCTATTATATTGTTACAATTATATATCAATGATAAACTTTTTATAAATTTTAAATTTTTAATGATAAATCATTGTATATCAATGATTAACTTTTTGCATATTAATGTAAATTGGCTATACTTTTAAATTTTTAAAAATTTAATCCATATTTTTTGGAGATTTTTTTTTTAACCAGTGGGCCATTTTATCATTTTTTTTAAATTATTTTTATCACTCGCCCATGTGAAGGCAAGATGAGAACCAGTGACATGCTTCGAGATTTAGATCAATTGAATATAACTACCCTTAATTTTTTTTCTTATCAAAACAACTATTTTTCTTTTGTTTTTTTTTTTGGAGCGAGTTCCTTTAAATAGTAATTGTTGACAATTCATAATTCAAACCTAAATACGGAAAAAATCTAAAGGCTGGCCATTAAAGGTTGATTTTCAGTTTTTTTTAAAAAAGTTGATTTTTAAGCAAAATCGCTAAAGGTAAGTTGTACTCAATATACCTGTGTCCTATCAAATCATGCAAAATGAAACTTAATAAGTTAATAAAATTAATAAAAATTTAATATAAATAAATAATTTATAAAAGATTCTATGTTAAGTATACAAAATTAAGTATACGAATTTCTCCAATTGCAAAAGCATCTAGTAAACAAGCATAATTCCTTCACACGTGCACGATTCTATACTATTATACACGAAGGCAATAATTTTCCAAAAAACACAGAAAAGGGCGCCCCGGTCTTGTCTTGATAAATTCGTATCAAAACTGAAGAGTTTGAAGCACACCGCAGATAGCGAACCCTTGTGTTTCTTTTAACATATTTCGTCCACACAATACACGGATATAATAAATAGATTTTTTCCCCAGAACGCATTCCGCGTATAAACAATGAAGGATGTGATAATTTTTGTGCACAAAAAAGATATCAACAATATTTTAAATAAAATAATACTCATTTTACATGAAATGTATTTCAAAAATATTCCTCACAACATAAATCCCTCCTCACTTCTCAGGCAGTCACCATGGATGCCAAGTCCAATTCTTCATCCGAGTTTATCACCTCTTCATAATCATAATAAGCATTCACCTGCATCACAGAATACGGAATTACAAACAAAAAATCAACACAACTTCACCCACAAAAGCTACAACACAAATCAAAACCGCATTTACAACCAATTCAAGGTCCTCACAATAACGATTACACTAAAGCTTATTAGGATCTTAGGATAATTTGAACTTTGTTTGGTTTATATTCTCATTTTTTGTTTATAAAAACTGTTTTGCAATACAGTTCTCAAAATTACTTTTTAAAGCAAAACAAAATAAAAATCTGTTTAATTACGTTAACTTAAAAACAGTTTTGAAATTAAAAAATAGGCTGATAATGTGGTTGCAGATGATTAATGGTTGCAGATAAAAATTAATCAAGCAGACTATATTTTTAAATAATCAAATGTAATGTGTTTTGAAAATAAGAAATAAAATGAAAATAAATTTAAGATGTTTCCATTCTTTTGTTTTTAAAAACAAGAAATGAGAAAAAATATGAAAACAATTAAATCCAAAATATTTATCCAAATTTTTTTTTTTAACACAAACCAAACAGGCTTCTATTCATCGGTTTATGGGCAATTATTTTTTTTTACCTTGGGCCTTGGTATAACTGCTTCAAAGCAATGAAATACTGGATTGTCAAAATGCGGGGGTTCAAGGACAACATAAGCGCCTTTGTTATTATACCTGTCATCTGTTGCCTGCAGGAAAAACAGTGCCTAGATTGAAGGAACTCCAAAACAGTTTAACCCAGAAACGAATTTTATGGGGAAAAAAGGGGTTAAAAGTACAAATTTAATTATGAACTATTTTTTAAAGAATACCAAATAGCTTATACTATCAAGTGATGCAAAATAGATTATCAACTAATTAAAAACAGAGCATCTAGCATCTACCGTTCATTTTGAGTCAAACATAATTTCTCCCTCTCTCTCTAGATCTTTTCTCTCTAGCCCTCACTCCCACAGATTCCCATTGTTGCAGATTCTAGAAAGCTCGAAGATGATGAAACAGAGGTGTCCAAAGTGTTCAGGACTTCCGCAGATTCAGACTCCAAATGCTATAGGGTCATGGTGAACAGCTTTTACAAGCTTGAGCCAGCTTATTCAGATTTCTACAGGAACGTTCTTGGAAGAAATCCTTGGAACATAGGCCCAGCCTCGCTCTGAACTAACGACACAGAAGTAAAAGCAAACAGGCGAAATCAAGCTTTAGCCTCAAACATAAACCATGAATGCCTGAAGTGGCTGGACCACAAGGAACCAAACTCAGTGATTTACGTATGCTTTGGAAGCACCACAACGTTCACTAACGAGCTATTAAAGAAGACAGCTTTGGGTTTGGAGGCATCAGGGTTGGAATTTATCTGGGCTATAAATAAGATCAAGTAAGATGATGACACAAAAAACAAAGCATGGTTCCCAAGAGGATTCGAAAACACAACGAAAGAGAAGGACTGATTTTGAGAAACTGGGCTAATTCTTGGACGCAGAGTAGTGGGAGCATTTATGACACAGTATGGATGGAACTTGGTGATGGAAGCTGTGGATGCAGGTGCAAAGAGGAAGAGATCGATGAGAGGGTTAGAGAGAGAAGATTTGGAGAGAGAGGGAGAAATTAACGTCATTTGCTCAAACCTAACGGTTGGAGCTAGATGCTCTATTTTCTTTAGTTGACAATTTATTTTGCATCACTTAATAACATAGGCTATCCAGTATTCGTCAGAAAATAATTCGTGACTAACTTTGCACCTTTATCCAAAAAAAAAAAGAAAGAAAGAAGAGTTAATGATCATCTTAAACCTTAAACTATTGCAAGAATAGCATCTTAAATCCTAAACTTTTAAAATGCGCAAAAAACTTCTCTCAACTTCTAAATTCCAAGCACCTGAAACCCCGCAGTTAAGTTAGAAAAAACAACCATTATTTGTAAGGGTCAAGATTAGTGCCACATCAACATATGACTAGGCCTCACCACTATAAAAGTAACAATTGTTTTCTCCAACTTAATAGTGAGATTTCAGACTCTCATAATTTAGAAGTTGAGAGGAGTTTTAACATATTTCAGAAGTTCAAGATTCTTACTATTCGCCCAATAAGTTAGGATCTAAAATGCTCATTAACCCAAAAGATTGAGTGATGAATCACATTGGGCGGTTCAACTAATAAGCATTTTTTACATAAAATACACAAACAGGAAATTCACAAATAAGCATTTTTTACATAAAATACACAAACAGGAAATTCACATTCATTTTAGCAAGACAAAAAGGAAATTGGCAACTATTTTTTGACATAAAGCACACAAACAGGAAATTTAAGCGAGATCAAATCTCTGCAGCAAACAAATCTAATTTGTAACAGGATAGAAGCATAACAAAGCAAACAACCATCTTGCATCAAATTACAATTGCAGGCAAGACTACAAGAAATAAAAGAATATAAAGAATTCAACCTCCGGCCTAGATAAGGAAGACATCATGAATATATGAATATTTGATATGGAATACTACACAGAATGCATTTAAAGTTTCCATTACTTCCTCATACATGTGCTTGAGTAATGTGCACCAAGCATAAGACATGATCTTTCCCTGCTTCAACTACACTATAACCACAATAAGGAGGGACCAGAAGTACAGAAGTCAAAGAACAATGGCTTGACTCAATTTGCACTGTTTGTTCACATCACAATTAATAATATTGCTTTAATTGACATAGTGCAAGGCCACATGTCATGACTGGTTCACACAATTCCTACTCTTGAAATGAATAGTAACCAGCTAATAAAAGAGCTGTTTCAGAGAAGATTATCGACTATTTTTTCTATCAGACAATTCAAAAATTCTAAATACCTTCGAGCTTTTGGTTCTTCTCAAAAATAAAAGATTAACAATGCATTTATGTCCTGTTAGATATAGGAGAGAGAGAGATAGGGAAAGGGAATGGGTGGGGGAAAAGAGCTTTCCTGATGTTTGGTACAAGCCAGACTGCTATCCTCAGAAATCATCAATTCCCTCATTTGCGGGAGAGGACATCTCTAATTTATGAGAGGAAATGTACTGGTTCCTGGGAATCATCTTTCTTGACAAATTTGCCCCTCCTAGCCTAATTAACTAGCCACTTGAAAGCAGAGGACTTTTGCCACAAAATATTCCCCACATGAAAGTTGTTGATGCTGTCACCAGAGAGCTGCACACAAGCTCCCAACCCATGACAGTCATTCACTGCTATGATAGCCAGTCATCATGCTACAGATCTTCCCCTGGTGCCACTTTTTGGTTTTGCCGTTAGCTTCCTCATGATCGTCTCAAACCATTGTATTTGCAGTCATTGCCGTCACTTAAGACCAGCTGCTGGCATGTAACCGTCACCAGAAGATATGAAGAGTTGTGCAATTTTCCTTCTATGGATCTCTATGAAATTTATGAAATTTGCTTACCCAATTGTCACTTGATCTTTCAAGCAGAGGAATTGCTCCGCACTTCTTTGACAGAGAACGGACAACAGGTTTCTAGGAAAGGAATTTGTGTCAGTTAACAGCTCATTCCATTTTAGTCTTGCTTTTATATGGTCTCCAATAACTTTTCATCCATGCCAAACATGCATTGATGTTAGAAAATTCCATTTCTTGAAAAGGCCGATTCCCATTTCTTACTTTGTACCAAACGGAGCCAAAGAAGTATTTGCATATCATTACTATGTTATATCCCTTTGGAAGCTTTTTTGCATCCAACACGGCAAGCCATTGCAAGGAGCAGGCGAGTAGCTATTCAGCAATTCTTTCTTCTTTGAAACATCACTAAAGACAGAGTTTCATAGATGTAGTTTGGTTGTATCATACAGAATTCCTTTCATCGAGTCTCACTGAAGCTATTTATCCTAAGCATCTTTTTTTTTTTTTTGACCGAAATTTATCCTAAGCATTCTAGCTGCACAGTATAATGGCAATAAAGTTCTCATTTAAATGAGAAACTCAGCATGTTAATTATTTCGCATTGAAGAGAAAAGTTAGCATGAGTGAATAGTATAAATCAAACTAAGTGTTAGGCCCTGACACATAAGAGTCAGACCTCAACAGAGAAGGACCAGGCAGATAGAACAAGTCAAACGAAGCCAAGAGGAGTGAAAAAAACCTGAAACTGTGGGTAATCTGGAGCACTGAAAAGGGTGATCATCTTTCCAGAGTCCACAATATGATCGATAGTGTAACCTTCATCCATTCCATCAAAACCATCCCTCTTTTCTCTCGCATCAGGACCTTCATGTGACCTGATGATAAACTGGCCGAACAAATGTGATAAGACATGCATCAGTAATATTCTTAAGCAAAAGGCTACATTTTGATTTCATAAACAGGATAAATTAGAAAATATCACATCCACAAAGTAGGGAGTAAAGGAAAAATAGAATGGAATTACATGAAGCTATGATAAAAATAGTGGGCAAATACATGTCTCGTCGCTCTGCTTCATGGACAAATGAGGTAGATGCATGATGAAGCACTAAAGTTATTTGATCATTTTGTAGTTGATTAATTATTAAGGTTGCCAGCCTTCCATGCATATCCACATGCTCAAATAAATTGTTATAATCAGTTATACAGCTCAACAACCATGACGCATACACGAAGGGCATAGGAATATTACACACATTGAGAATAGATAGCAAAATTTATATGCTGTGGAAGTACTGGGCCACATAGGTAAGAAATTACCAACAAATGCATGAAAATCTCAATCAGATATATTTGACTTATGTTTGAGCATGTTTAGAGTATAAGTGCCAGTACGTGATAAAATTGGACACATTTTTTACTAGCGTCAGTGCTTCATGTACTGAGCACAGACAATCACTCAACTGCTTGTCCATTTGGATAACTCGTGTACAAAGAAATGACCCATGCAAGAACCCAGTTCCAATCAGAAATGAACAAGGATACAAGCCAACAAGGATACAAGCCAATAATCCACCCAAGAACTCTAGCTATCAAATAATTTTCTCACATTGCACTTCAAAAATTCAACTTCGCCTATGTTTTATAGCAAGTCCCAAGCCCAAACAAAAGAGGAGGGTTGTGTTAAGCCCTTAACAGCCAATGTAAAACTTTGTTGAATCTCACATGGATATAGACAATAGACATTTTTACACTAATGCTAGGTCGTTGCCTGTAAGTAATGCGCTGCATGGCTCGAGTACAGTAATAACTGAGTTAGGACTGCTGCATCGACGCTCGAATGTAGTGTTAAATAAGCAAGAGCTACTGCATTATTTTGAACAAGCACAGCTAAAGAAGTTAGTGCATGTGAGCAAGATCAGACTTGGTACTTGGAATGTTAGGGCCTTGACTGGTAAATCTATAGAGGTGGTAGAAGTTATGATTAAGAGAAAAATTAACATCTTGTGCCTGCAGGAGACTAAATGTGCTAGTGGACAAGCTAAGGATGTCCAAGGTTTCAAACTCTGGTTTACTAGGAAAGTAAACACACACAATAGGGTGGGTATCATTGTCGAATTGTCGATAAGGAGTGGAAGAAAAACGTGATAGAAGTTAACAAAATTGGAGACAGAATGATTTCCTTAAAAATGATCATCGGATGGGAGATTATCAATATTTCCAACGCTTATGCAACTCAAGTTAGGACAGAAGCCAATCTTAAAGAATTATTTTGAGGAAACTTGGAGGGGTTGATCGAAAGCATACCACATAATGAAAAGATCTTTATTGAAGGAGATTTTAATGAACATGTCAAGAGGGAGGCAGGTCATTATACAAGGGTGCATGGTGGCTTGGGTTTTGGGGAACTAAATAATGAAGGACAACATATCATTGATTTCTCTTTGGCATATGACTTCAAGATTGCCAATATCTATTTCAAGAAGAAGGATGAGCATCTCATCACTTATAAAAGCGAAGCTTTAAGGTCACAAATTGATTTCTTTTTGGTAAGGAACGTGGATAGAAGACTTTGTAAAAATTGTAAGGTGATTTCTGAGAATGCTGTTATGACACAACACAAGATCCTTGTCCTTGATATGTGTATTATGAGTAAAAGCAAAAAGCATCGACAAGTAATAACTTCAAGGATTAAATGGTGGCAATTAAAAGGTGAAGAGAGAAATTTTCAAGAGAAATCTCTTGGCTGAAGGAATTTGGGAGGCTCGAGGAAGTGCTAATACCTTGTGGGAACACTTGGCTGTGAAGATAAGGAAGATTGTAAAAAAAGTTTTGGGAGAATCAAGAGGTTTTGGTCTGAGAGATAAGGAGTCTTAGTGATGGAATGATAGCATATAGGAAAAAATCAAGTATAAAAAGGAGTGTTTCAAAACCATCCATTTGTGCAATGATAATGAAAATTGAAAAAAGTATCATATGGCTAAAAGAGAAACTAAGAAGGCCGTGAGTGAAGCTCATTCTAAAGCATTTGAAGAGTTTTATAATGGTCTTAAGACAAATGATGAAGAACAAAAAATTTATAAGATTGCTAAGAGTAAGGAAAGAAAATCAAGAGATTTAAAACAAGTGAGGTGTATAAAGGATGAAGAGGGAATTGTTTTGGTCACAAATAATGATATTAAAAGCAGATGAAAGACATACTTTTCTAAACTTTTCAATGATGATGGGAATTCGTCAATTAACTTGAAAGATTTAATAACTCCTAAAAGAGAATAAAATTTGTCATTTTATTGAAGAATCTGAGCTTGGGAAATGAGAGAAGCTCTTAAGAAAATGGCAAATGACAGAGCCAATGAACCTGATTGTATCTCTATTGAAATATGAAAATGTTTGGGTGAAGAAGGAGTGCAGTGGTTAACTAAGTTATTTAATGAGATATTACAATCCAAGAGAATGCCAAACGATTGGAGGAAAAGCATCTTAATTCCTGTTTATAAAGATAAAGGAGATATTCAGAATTGTGTCAACTATAGATGAAATAAACTTATGAGTCATATTATGGGGAAATAGTGATTGGGCATAGGTTGAGATTGAAAACTAGTATTTCTAAGAATCAATTCAGCTTCATATCAGGGAGAGCAACTACAGAAGCGATTTATTTACTAAGGGGATTAATGAAAAAGTATCATTGTAAAGGAAAAGATTTACATATGGTTTTCATTGATTTAGAAAAAGCTTATTATCGTATATCGAGAAAAGTACTTTGTAAGGCATTGGAAAAGAAAAGTATTCGGGTTGTCTATATTCGAGCCATACAAACCATATATGAAAGGGCAACAACTAGTATAAGAATGCTTGGTAGTAAAATAAAAGATTTTTCTATAAAAATTGGACTGTATCAAGGATCATCTTTAAGTCTTCATTTGTTTGATCTAGCCTTAGATGTTTTAACTGAACATATTCAAGAGAAAATTCTTAAACACATGCTCCTTGCAAAAGATATAGTTCTTATTGCAAAGGCAAGAAAAGAGATAAATTGTAAACTTAAGTTATGGAAGAAGATATTGAAGTCAAAAAGTTTCCGCCTAAGTAGGAGTAAAACAGAATATTTACATTGCAATTTTGATAGGATCAATGAGCAGTAACTTGGAAGTGAAATTGGGTGATCAGACCATACCTCAAATGGAAAAGTTTAGATATCTGGGAGCAATTATTCAATAAAATGGGAAAATTGATAGAGATATTGTACATAAAATACAAGCAGGGTGGTTTAATTAGAGAAAAGCTAAAGAAGTTATCTGCAAGCGTAAAGTACCTGATAAGTTTAAAGGAAAGTTGTATTGAACTGCTATAAGTTAGGCTTTGACGAAACACCTAGAGTATAAAGTTAGAATAGCAGAGATGAAAATGTTGAGATAGATGTGTGAATATACACATAAAGACAAAATTTGAAATGAGCGAATACAGGAAAAAGTGAGCGTGGTATCTATTGAACGAAAAATGGTAAAAAATTGTTTATAGTGATTCGGACATGTACAAAGAAAACCACGGGAGGCACTTGTGAGGAAAGTGAAATAAATGACTTTGAACCTTGTCAAGAAGGATAGAGGAAGACCGAAAAGAACACTTTTAGAGGTTGTTAAGCAAGAACTTTTAATTAACAATATTTCTAAAAATTTAATAAATGATAGAGTACAATGACGTCATATAATCCATGTGGCCGACTCCATCTAGTGGGGTAAGGCTTGTTGTTGTTGTTGTTGTACTTCAAAAATTCACAGCAAAGTCCAGTTTCATAAGGTACGTATTTGATTTTACCCCCTTAAAATAAGCTTTTCCTTTTGACATAGGGAAATATCATGCTAAAAATATATGCATCAGTTATCATTACATGGTCTTAATAGCTTCACTTGGAGAAGTGCAACTAAGCGAGCAAGGATTCTGAAGCTCACAAGAGGAAAAAAGTCAAAACTTAGAAACAATTTGTCCGTTGAGGACCAGAAATCTTGTGCAAATAACCGATATAGGATAATATACACTCCCATAGTTATCAATATATGAAAACGTTATTCTTTTGGTTATAAATATGTCATGAAAATCACCACAAACAAAAACATCCCAAGAACAATGGCAACCAGATTAGTACCTTTAGTTGATACTTCTTCAAGAATTCCTCAGTACAATCAGGACCCCACAATAAGCCAATGCCTCTTTCTTTGTTCGGAGAAAGGCCAGGAGTTTGCGAAGGATCAGACCACAAAACATCGCCAGGAATCAGGTTTGAACCTTCCCAAGGAGGATCAAGAACTGATCGCCGAGCTTTAGATAATTCTTCCAACGAACCAAGAGACAAGGTTTTATTATCAGGGATGGAATAATTCTTACGGTTCCTCTTTCCTTTTAATCTCTTCGATGGAGTCACAGATACACTGCGGAAAAGTCCTCCATGAGCTGTGTATACACGTCCAGCTATAATAGATGCCAAAGGAAGACCTTCAAAGCATCCCAAACATTTCCGATATACATGCTTACCTTTATCACTGTACTTTGCCATAACTTCCTTCTCAAAGCCATAAACAGATGTACAGTATTTTGATTCGTGATTCCCACGCAGTAAATACACATTATGCGGCATAAACACCTGAGCAAAATAAAATGGAGTGGCATTAACATAAACTAAAAGACTTTATACCACAATGACAAGAAGATTATACCCATTTTCAGTAATTAGAGCTTGGTTGGTGATAATAAAGCAAATACTAGCTTATTATTACTAGTTTAGACATTCACATATTAGCGACGATAACTAAACTATAGCATCGAATATGTACTGTAACCGCGTAGGACAGAGTATAACGTAAGATTGGCATCGGCAAAAAATCAAATTTCATGAACAATAAGGAACTTACGCTACATCGCATACAAAATGTGTGTGTGTGTGTGCGCGCGCGCGCGCTAGCTTTCTTGTGTAACAAAGAAGAATAAGCACCTAGCAAAGAAATTAGGACCACCGACCACTGCCCCAGCAACGGATCAAGTGAGAATTGTTCAAAAAGAAAAAATGCAATAGAATCGCAAAATATAAAAGGAGAAATTTTGAATAGGAAAGTCCGACATTTACCTTCCACGCTAACAAGAGTAAGAAAGTTTCCAGACCCCAAGCTCCTCTATCAACATAATCCCCATTGAAGACGAATATGCGATTTTGAGAAGGATAACCAGCATCCCTAAGGAGGAACAATAGATCATGCAATTGGCCGTGAACGTCCCCCACAACGACAACTGCGGAAGCAGCTCGGTCCCGGGAGTCAGAATTGGGTTGAAAGGGGTCTACAGATACACAGTTAGGTTCTTTGTGAAGCATTTTGGAAGCCACAAGGATGAGAGAGTCGAAGACATGGACCGGGAAAACACAAGGAAATTCAGAAGGGGAGAGGTTCTTGGAAGACCAGTCGAAGCAAGCCATAAGATTATAGATCCAATCGAGACTAAGCTTTCCATCCTGGGGCCACGATACAGGTAGTTCGAGTTCTGGAGGCGGGGACAAAGATGCGGATGAGTGAGGTGGGTTTTGGTCACTGTTCAAAGGAGAGGTAGCAGAACCATTGACGGCCGAGGTGGGAACTGAATCAAGCGGAGAAGGCTCTGCTGTATCAGCAGAAATGATCATTGTAGACGAAGACATTGTACAAGAAGTGCCTGAATTTGAAGCGGACGCATTCATAGAACAATCCCCTTGTTTTCTGTAATTTAGGGCATGTCCCGTGATTTCTGGAATTATAAATCTAAACTTTAAGGTCGTACAGAATACGTTTCCCTGAATTATATACTAGCGGTACTCCAAACAAGTTTGTGTAACTGTGTATATTTAGAACAGAGACTTGTGCTTTGTTCGGTTTGGAGTTGCTGTAGCTGTCGGAAGTCGGAACCCTAGCGTTTCAACGCCAAAGGGAAACAGGGAAATATGGTCCTCTACAGGCTACAACCTGGGATACGGTAATCATTGCATAGCTACACGTGCTACACAATTTTGCTCAGGTTCTTTTGGGACAATTGCACCGAAGCCCATAATCATCAACAAATTGTCAAATTTGCATCTGAAAGCTAAATCTGAAATAATCATGCAGGTTCAAAGATATCGCTAATAATTTATTTTTTTAAAAAGATGAAAGTGTTCCTTTAAAAAATTCACAATAAACATCTATAAGAAACATTTGAAATTCATTTATTAACAATTAAATGTCTATTTATTTCATATAATTTACATAATTTGTACTTAAAATAGAAAAATTTATAAGTTATCCAAATGATATTTTTACATAAAATTTTGAAAAGTTTTAATCTTTGTTAAAATATTAAGTTCTCCAAAATAAAATTTTACTCTGATTTCATAAAGCTTTATCACTAATCGAGTATAATTACTATAAAAGACACCCATTTTAAAAAACTATCAAGAAAATCAAAAATCTTACTAATTGAATGATCACCTTTGATTCTATTTTTAGATAAACAAATAGATGTGTTTATTTATTTGCCATCAAACATTCCAAGATAGTTTTGATACTAGGCTTTTTGACTATCCACCACCTAATTATAGAAAATCTTATAATTTTAGACATGACTTAATTTTTGTCTCTTTGCTCAAATTTTTCATGATCTCATATAATGAGATGCAAATCTTGGTAAATAAAGGGAAACAAGGCAACATCAATCTAAAAAATAAGATGTGATGCTACAAAGGAAGCCATTCCAAAAAAAAAAAGTCACTTGAATATAAAATCAAAAGACAAGTGAACTAGTGCCGCCAAAGTGTTTTTTTTTTTACCATAGTTCACATTTAATAGCCACAAAATCAATCTATTAATTAAATCACACACTACTATAATAATCAGGGTTAATGTTCCAACTTAACCAATATCCTAACAGGAAATACTTAACCATGATTATAAAGGCACAAGCACGAGTTAAATAAAAACTTTTTGAAAATGAGATCTTAATTAATATCTATTTCCAAGACCATTTGATCTCAAGCACACCAAATGAGAGTAATCAAACAAATGGAAGAACGAGATAATCCAAAAATAGGGTTACAACATTATTGGGACAAAATTGTCATTCTCCACGACTTAAGCATAACAATAATAATTTGACCCCCCTTAATTTAACTAATCAAACATACCCACCTTAAGAGTTAACATAATGTTACATTCCATAAACCATCGTTGGGCATCAATATCCCAATTCACATGTATAAATCTATCATGAACAAATCCATGTCAAAATCTCTAGCCCAAAACACAAACCTCATGGGCTTGGTTCAACAAAACCAAAAAGACATGCATAAAATCCACCAAATTACATTCATCAAACACTTAAAATATATCCTTTATCCCACCATAAGCCCACATGAGCTTAATCCAACCAAAAAAGGGCTAGTTATACAAACTCATCAATCCTCAAATTCAATTACAATTACAATGCATAAATGTTATCCCTAATTGACAATATATAAATATAATCTAAATCCCTTGAACATAAAGTAAACAAAAGGCATTATAAACTATAAGAGACTAGTTGTTAGCCTTCAGTTCGTTTCCCTTACCATTAACTAAAGCATCACTTGTAAGATGTCAATCATGGGGCAAGATAATTAAATATCTCAATAACAAGGGAATCTTAACTTTTAACATATGCAAGTATAAGCATTTAAAGGCATGTAAAGCGGATAAATACAATTATAGTTCATATAATCACATAAATTGTCATGCATGACCATTATGACTCCCTTATCTCTTTATTCCTTCTAACTAAGTCCATGAACTACAATTCATAACAGGACTAACCGGTATGACTGATTGGCCCAAGCTTTCTAATATTAGAGGAGTGACATGACTAAAGGTCACAGTTAACCTAATGATATTGATGTCAATTCAACGCATAACCCTATACTTTCATTGGCTAATTGGTTCAATTGTAAATATTTTGGGTTAAATATAGGAAAATGGGCTTCAGTTGAAGTTAACCTTGATGATATAATTTGTTTGAAATTTTTGTAAAGAATCTTGCCTTGATTTAAACTTTAAAAGATCTTATAGTTATATCTATTATTTCAAGTGACTTCTAATAGATAATTGTAATGATAAAGAGTTAGATAATGCTTGAAGATGCATTTGGAAACATAAAGATAATAAAAATTAAACCAAAAATGAAGATTGAGGGCTTTATGCCATGTGTTGCAGTGCATGCATAATGCACAATGATATGTGACATAGATAAGGGCTTCCAGAACTTGCACAAGCATTGCAGCTTATGGACACTATGCTACGACGTACTTTCACAATTTGCACATGCACTGCGACACAATGATAGCACTCTGTGGCATATGGCTTAAATATTGCTATATGTTTTAAGCTGCATAATGTAAATTAGGGTTATATAAACCCATCTCCACACCTCCAAATAGATACACACAAATTTTAAAGCTTCTTTAAAGCTTGCTCTGCTAGGGTTTAGGGTTCTTAAGGGAGATTTGATCAAGGATTGAAGATTTGAAGAGATTCACGTGGAATTCCTTTAGTTTTTTTTACTTCCCTTCCCCTTTGTTTTTGTGTTTCTAATATGGGTATCAAACAAGTCATTATTTATTGCTCTTTTCTGAACATGAATAGCTAATTTTCTTGTTCTAGGATTATTTTAAATCTTTATATGAATTAAGACTTGGATATTCCTCTCTTTTGATAGTTAATGATATATATGTATTTATTTTATCCCGTGCTTTATGCTTCTAAGTGCTTGGTCACCATTTAGATTGTTTTGTTTATGTAAGTTGTGCTTGAGAAAGCTAAATTGGATATAGACATTGGATAAAATAGTGTTAGACTTGAAGTTAATAAAATAGAGATATTTTGTAAACCTTTCATAGTTACATTAAGGTTAGTGCATGAAACTTGTTTTCACTAATTATTTTCAAGAGATTGCAAAATTTTAATGTTGACAAATATATTTGATTTTGACTTGAGAAAGCTTTTTCAAATATATTAGAATCTTAGACTAACACTTATTTTTATTACAAATCATTTTGAGAGGAAATAATTAAAGCCTTATGAAATACAAAGGGGAGAGATAATCTTAGGTTCTAGTCTCTTGAATTCATAGTATCAACTAAATTTGTTCTAAAATACCTTTTTAATTCAATCTTCATCTTTTCACAAAACACTATACTTGATTTTGCTTAACCTAATCCAAAGCCTGATAGTGAATTTTTAACTCTCTTTTTCCTAAATCCTTGTGGGAAAGATAACTTGGGAACCCGTATGCTTGCGGTAATGCTTGAAAGTGAATAGTCACCTCTCCCCAACTTGGACAATGGACTTCCCTGAAAATCAAATTCTAGTAAGATGTCATATATTGCTGGAACTATACCTATTCCTAAAACAAGTAAACATAGCTAAGCTGGAACGACACCAAACTCTCAACAAGGAAGATAAACATGGCTAAGTAACACTTAAAGCTACCTAATGTTGACAATGCCATAAGGTCTTTTTTTTTAACTAACTCCCATATGGGGTGAACTTCTACATATTCCATTTTATAATCATGCCATAATGTTCACAAGTACAATCATGCATGATAATGTACTTCCTTATGCCAATATAGCATACTTTCTAATCTTCATACTTAGTTTCACAAACACATACATGTCTCTCAAACTCGATTCTCATTCTCAAATCATACTCATACCCATTTTACACATTTTCTAAAACAACAAATAGCATTTTCATACATGAATATATAATTTCATAGTCTCATTAATGCTAAAAACACTTAAACAAGCAAATAAGGAAATTTAGGTTCACGGTTACCTCCACCCCTTAAGTTAATCAAAAGAGGCACTTGTGAACACTTGGCAATTCAAAGCTCCCATTTTCTTTAAGGCACTTAGATACTTGTAAATTTTGGAAAAAGTGACCATTTTGTAGTTAGGTAGTCAACTTTTAAATGGGTTATCATTTTAAGATGAAACTAGTGCATTGGCTAGATTACTGAATAAGCTTTATGTGGGCACTAGAATCGCTCTAATTGGATATTGGACAAAGAAATGACATACTCTGGAAGTTGATTTTGGTGAGCTGTCATGACAGCATAATGAGCCATAATACATAGTCTCTATATCGATACATATGGCACAATAAGGGAGTGATCCTTTTAAGTTATTCATGTAATGTTGTCCTTACTAATTTGACCCTTAACCATAAACTCTGAGGTGATCACATGATTAGCCTAATAGATTACTACACCATGGTTAACCATTTCAAAATATTTCAAATTCAAGTTGTATTTACTTTCAAGATTTGGGATCACAGGTTTAAACCTTTTATAATAATCCAAATATGACTTTAATAAGTTTAAATTAGAGTTTGGAATAATTATGAAAGCATGTGATACCTTACATTTTGAAAACTTTGAAATTTATTTAAGAAAACCCAAAAGAACAAAAGTAGAGGATTCATCGCGACTTGTTCTTCTTTGTGTTTTACGATGTGGCACGTTGCATAGGTTTGATAGTACTGTGTTGTCATTTTGACAGCATAGGGGTAAACTTCTAATATGTCCTATTTTTTCTCCCAGCATCCGATCGAGGTGATATAATTGTCCACAAAAAGCTCTTTACATAAACTAGCTAATGGCATAAGTTTTACTCCCAAATAATTTCACACAAAAGAGTTGGACACCCGAACATATTTTCACATCTATTTCATACTTTTCCATAACAAAGGTGTCCAAAACCCAACACGTGCCAAAAACTACAACCAATACCTAGACTGTACTTAATGAACCTAGGACTACCTATACAAAACACAATAATCACAATATAACACACATATCTCATTCACAAGTAAGTTAAGTAACCTTAGTTGGGTAGCTTTTCATGCATAAATGGCTAGGGTAGTCTCATCATATGAATGAACCCGTTATGAAATAGCTTATGATTT